TGGCAATCTTGACCGGTTAATCCCGTAGAGAGTTTCTTCTGCTGTAAGGGCAACCCTGGAGACTCCGACGAAAGCCTAGCAGGGGAGGATCCAAAGCGTGAATAAAAGCTATGGAAATACACGGAGGGACCAACCTAGCAGGGGAGGATCCAAAAAGAAGAAACTCTAAGGGTCCGCCTGCTAGGGCGCCAACTATATACTGGTCGTCCGTAACTGCCGACGTAGAGCGCAGAAGGCCTGAGCGGCGTCGCAGGCTCTGTCCCAAGGTGATCGTTGGGAGGGTCTTGACGGATCGGTGATTGTGCGGGCAAAGGAGGCTGTGGACGATGGTCGGGGTGGGTCGGAGCGTCCAAGGGGGCGCCGGTCGGATGCGCCTCGGATGCGTTCGGAGGGTCCGAAGGCACCCCATATACCCCATCTTTCAAGAAAGATGTGGACAGTTGTCCACAGCTGTAATGCAAAAGATGTGGACAGTTGTCCAGAAGTCACAAGCCTGGAAAGTAAATGTTAAATTAAAGAGCCAAATTGATAGATATGACTAAGCTAATACTATATATGGCAATAGAAATCACCTTTTCTTCAGGCCGATGATTCGTAATATAGTTTGGAACAGTCTGTAATACAGTGCAAGGAAATTGATGTAATCACATGTCACATTGATGTAACACCATCCAATCATCAAAACAATTGATCTCTATCAAAAATGGTTCCACATTGTAAACAATATATAAATAGCATTAATCCCATCACTAATAGGGCTCTACAAGCCTCTTAAATAATTAATTATTCTTTTAACTAATGTGACATTTGTGACTTGGAAGCAGTTGTCCACATCTTTTGCATTACACTTATGGACAATTGTCCACATCTTTTGCATAGAAGTAGCTATACCAGCTGCCGAAGGAGGCCGAAGCGGGGGTTCCCCTGACAGAGGTCCATCAGGTCCTCGAAGTCGTCAGTGTACTGGTAGACATCCTTTGTACCCATGTGATAGGTGGAAGTCTCCAGCTTGGAGAGAGCGTGATCTTGCTCATTCTCCTCGACAAACCGGAGTCGAAACTCGGAAACGAATGAGCCCCAAGACGGAAACGGAAATGGGGCTTTGCTTCCGTGGTGCTCTGCCTATTGCTGAGCAGGTCCTTCTGCCATAAACGACATGGCATAGCGGACGGCCTTTTCCTCGCTTGCCTCTCCATTGACCACAAAGGCCTCAGGGGCGAGGCGGGCGTAGGTGCAGACCGCGTAAAGGAACGCGCGGCCGCGTTTCCGGTCGCCGTTGAAGGTGAACGGGGGGTTTGGTCGCAAGACCAATTTTGAGGCAAGGTTGATGTCGCCAAAAAGGGCTTCGGAGTCGCCCTGGACCGGAGTCGGAGTCGGAATCGACGTCTCCGGCAATAGTGTTTGGGGTCCGCCAGCATTATTAGCGGCGGCAGCGGCAGCGGAAGCCTGGTTGGTGAGTAAAGCAAGGGCCTCAGTTAGGCTATCAATTTTCGCCTCGAGTGAGTCCAGCTGGGCGTCTGCAGTAGGAGTGACTCCGGACGGCATGACGGGTGCGGGGACCACAGGAGTAGAGGAGGAGGGGACAAGTGGCAGGGGCGGTGACGAGGGCGGAACGGACTCGTACTCCGAGCCTGAGTCAGCGCCGAACCTGGCAATCTTGTCCGGTTGATCCCGTATCTTCTGCTGTAAGGGCAACCCCGGAGGCCTGAGATCAAGGTCCTAGCAGGGGAGGATCCAAGGTGTGAACATTGGTAAGCGAATACAAATGAAGCTGACCTAGCAGGGGAGGATCCAAAGAGAAGAAACTCTGAGGGTCCCCCTGCTAGGGAGCTGACTATATACTGCTTGTCCGTAGCTGCCACTGTCGGGCACAGAAGGCTTGGGCAGCGTCGCAGGCGAGGTCCCAGGGCGACCGTTGAGAGGGCGTTGATGGATCGGTGATTGTGCGGGCGAGATGGAGGGCCGGACCGGAGTTGGAACCGAAATCGGACGCGTCTCTGGGCCGAAAGGGAGGTTCCCCTGACACTATTAAAGATCTGATTATGCAGCCTAATTTGCAAACTCTTTGCTATATTAGCCATTTGCCTATAAACGAGAGAACAGAGAAACAAGCAAGGCAAAAGGCAAGCAAGATGAACAAACTTCAGGGAGTATATATTGCATTTACTTATCTGGACCATGGTCAAGAGAAAGTATGGTATCAAGATAATGTCAGTAGCAGTTCAGAGAGTGATACTGAGTTTTTCAGTACTAGTAGCAATATATAAATGTATTTTATTTTTAACAACAAGTTGAGCATATTTACCATATATGGCTATTTGTTTCTACCCAATAAGGCTAATCCTAATAAGGAGAATCCTAAAGGAATCCTAAGAATCCTAACTATACCTAATTTGGTAATGCTTCTTCAACTTTTTCTGCACTGGAAAAAAACTTTTTTTCCAGGCTGGAAAAAGTTGGGAAAATAATGAGAAAATAAGTTATTTTCCAGCATGGAAAAAGATAAGAAAATAGCCAGTAAATAAGTTTTTTTCCTCAACTTTTTCCAGGGTGGAAAAACACAATTTGCCCCCAGTGTCCACTCTGACTCTGCTCCGGTCCGGTTGGTCTTGTGCTCATTCGTGTCAGGCAGCTACTGGCTTGTTAGCTATAGTGGAAACTCCCCCTGTTCTGCACGGCACTTGAGAAGTCTACTGAAGGACAATCAGCTGGATTTGTCCTGGTAACTTAGTAACGGTACAGTTTACAGAATAACGACCTAGTGGATTGCTGACAGAGCGGACTCCGACCGAGTACTGACCACGTAGGTATACAGATTGACTTGAACTTAGGTTTTACAGAGAACTTGTGCAGAGTAATGCCCTAGTGAGTAAGCACGTAGGGAAGCACCAACAGAATTAGGTTTTACAGAGAACTTGCGCAGATCAACACCCTAGTGAGTAAGCACGTAGGGAAGCACTTTAGGAACAGGTAACACAGAGAGCTTAAGCTGAACCACGCCCTAGTGAGTAAACACATAGGGAGGCAGCTACAGATTTAGGCAACAGAGACAACTGAACCAGATACTGCCCCTTCGAAACCATCATACAACCTCCCCTCTATTTTCCCAAATACACCTCACCTCCCTGTTTCTATGCCATTCCTTGAATAAAGTTACTTCCAGGAAAACACAGAGAGAAACTATTTTTCCCTATGACACCGTCTCTTCCCACCCTAGGGCAGCCCATATAGGATGCCCACCCTTCACCTAGATATAATAAAATAACATTGTTAACTGTACTACATCTGTAATATACCTCTAAAAAAATTGAGTTATGGGATATATACCATTATATGATTTTAACAGGTTTTTTCTTTAAAAAAACCAACATCTCAAATATTGTCTGTCATAAATAAATTCTATTTTCAGAACATGATTTAGCCTGAATTCTAAATTATCTCTATTATTTTGACTAAGAAAATCTATGTTCATCTAGACTTTCTCTAGTCAATCAATGTTCTGACCACACTGTAATAATAAGACAGCAGCAACACACACTTCAAGGAGACCAATTTGGACTGCCTCTACAGTCAGCTGCAAAATGACCTCCTCATCATCTCGGTAAATTCTTGCATATGTTTGTGGTGTCCCCAAGCCAACAGAGTACAACTTTGAACTATGTCAGCCAAATGTCTTTCAAATTTGAATATAGGAAAATACCGAGATATTATCATCATCTGGGGCCCAGATAAATGTCTTCCCACAGGCTTTCATTGTTCGATACTTTTTCCCCTCTGCTAATGCCAACCATTGGCTGGTAGGTTGTTTGGAGACGACCCCTCTGATCTCAACAACAGGGTGATTGGCCCATTCAATGATTACCATGGGTTGGTTCATTGCATTTTTCACCACAGTAAACCCTGGGGCTTGTCCTGGCCTGTCTGTTTGCGCAGTGAAGTAGGTGCGCGCTTGTGGACCAGTCACGGTGCAGTTCAAGATGGTTGGATCAAAAGTGTTGAAGGTGAATGTCATCCAAATGGGTGCTGGCCCACCCGCTGGTGTGGGATATGGCAGAGCACCGAAGATTGAGGGCTGAGGAACAGTAGTATTAGGATTTGAAGAATTGGAGTTGGAAGAGTTCGGCCAGTTCCCATGTGCATATGGGTTGAACATCACAGAACTGTCCCTGAGGAAGTGCTCAATGGAAGACTTGAGGTCTTCAACGGCAAGTTGTCGCTGTTGTGTTAACGAAGACCCAAGTTCTTATAAACTCAGGCTGCGCTGCACACAATCTTCGAGTCACAACCTTCGAGTGAAGTAGCAAAACATATCTACCAAAGCCGATGTTCTAGTAGCAGAGCTCGGCTTTGGGCAATAACTGTCGTGTTTCGTGTGGAATAGAAACAATATACATGTACTGATAGATGAGACGCACGAAAATCATATCGGCGGCAGTGTTCCAAATGATTGGATAGTTATTGACTTAGCCAGATATCCTCTGTAGTACAGCTTGAGCCTTGCAATAGTAAAGTTGAAAGAAAGTGAGCGGTCCCCCGGATGCGCTGGGAATCTGAGGCGTCAAGTCGATAAACGAAGACCAAGAAAGTTATCATGGCGATGTGCACGGTAAGTGTAAGACTTGATCCCCGGCATATGTAGATTCGGTTTCATTTGATCCGCATTGAGACGTCGTCAGGATTATACTTGTATCTGCGGTACACACAGCAAGAGGAAAGAGACGAAAAAGTAACGAGAGTTCGAAAAGTTAGATTTGTAACGCCTTGTCGTATCTGGTGCTCTCCGTGAGGCTTAACGCTCATTTAATGTGCCGGATTCGGCGTGTAGAGCGGAGTCAGAGCGCAAGGTTGAGGGGTCTTGAGGCATGAGTATAGTGTATGCGATTGACGCATCTTGATTCAACTTGAAATTTCGAGCGTTCCTGTAAACTTTGAAGCTGACAAGTGAACGTCAACGGCCAAGTATGCAAGGAGGTCGAAACTTGTGACCAAACTTGTGATCGATGATGACTTTCTCTCTCTCAAATCTCAAACAAGTCAAAAATAGCGTCATTGGAAATCCTTCGGCAAAGCTGAGGCTTTCGAAGGACCTCGAGTTTGTTCAGACGTGAGTGGTCAGATTTCCTATAAGGAGGCTAAGTGAAACTAGAATTGTAAATTGCTTGACGGACACACCCGATGGTGAGGACGTGCGGATCGAGGCTGCTCAGGTAATTGCGTCAATATCATACGGCTCTGAGGCCGTACTTGCCACTCTACTTCGATGTGATGCCCCCCGAGCCTTTCTTTACGCCCTTTCAAAGCTTACCCTCGAGGACGGCCCTGCTGTTCGAGCGGCGTTTACGCGTGGATTGCGTGCACTGACAAGTGCGCTGGCAGACACCGTGGGTCCGTCCCAGTGGGGGCTAATGGAGGAGAGGACAGCTGGCTTGCGAAATTTGGCAGAAGGAGCGCTGGATTTGGTGTTCCAGACGGAGTCGCTGGACGTTATACTGCCGTTACTCGAGGATAGGGTGGTTCCAGTGGCAGTTTCCATCGCTCAGCTGCTGGGTCTTGCCATTCGTAATACGACATATCGAGTTACGGTGGTGGAATGGATTCCCCCACAGCAGCGCATCAAGACAGACATGAGGAGCAATCGTGGTTGGGAGAAGTCCGCTGTGCCCCCAAATAACACAGACATCCATGGAAGCTGGATATGTAGGCAACTCACCAAGCTTGTATGTGGTCGTGACTCCCAGGTATGTATGTGTTCACCTCTGCTGACATCAAGCCTAAGGCACAACTTCACAGCTCCAAGAGGCCGCTTTGTGGGCGTTATCAGTGATTACCAAGGACAATGCTGCCATCGTTGGTACATTGAATCGTACAATGGATACGGGAGAACCATTCCTCTCTCTCGTCCTGTCCTTCATCAAGTCACGCTCCACGAATCTACAACTTGCCGCTTGCTCTTGGTATCATTTTCTTCCCACGCTAGACCTCCTCAACTCACTATTTAAATAGTGCGACTTCAATCATTCGGGCTACTTATCCCTCAACAAATACAACGACTTCTTCTTTCGTCTCAGACCCACCTCTCGTCCAAGCCTCCTCGAATATAGTCATTAATGTTGTTAACCGTATTATTTCAACCCCCGCCACGGATGAAAACCTCAACAACAGAAGTCGTGCCTGTTTTATCCTCTGTACGTGGTGGTACCACTCTCAATTTTGGTCTACCTTACACATTTCGTCAGTCAATCTGGTTTCAGACCATCCCGCCCTTTGTACCACGGCCTACGAACGTGGCTGTCTCACGAAGCTCGTCAGACTGCTCAACAGTTTCGAGCGGGCTCCCCCCAACGCAGCGTCTTCTTCACTCTTATTTTTTCCAAGTGAGGGGCAGGAAGAAGAACCTACTCCGATAGCTGGCTTGCGTGAGGCTGCCCTGACCACCATTGCTGCGCTTGCGCTATTTGACAACACTATTCGAAGGAGCATTACTGATGAACACGGGACTGTGATTCTTCCCATCATACACGCTGGTCTTACACATCACAGTCTGGGTGTTCGGTGCGCGAGTCTTGTGTCTTGAGTTCACAGTCTGACACGTGATAGATATGCTTCCTGTCAGTGTGTACGGGCTCTGAGTCGTGCTGTCGCTGTCTTGAGAACCAACCTGGTTGATAGTGGCCTTGGCCGAGCTGTTTTTCGTGTATTCCTCAAGGAGGAAAGAAAACAATCGGAAATTGCACTCGCAAGTGACAACAGGGAAACGATTGGCAATACGATCGAGGGCGAAGATCGAAGGGTGACCGCCGCTGCTTTGGCTGCAGTCTGCAATATTGTCAATGAGTTCTCACCGTTACGACCGGTCAGTGCTATTCATGAACTCAGAACTTGGTTTCTAAATTCTACAACCAAAGGTTTATCTCAACGACGGATTGGTCCAACGACTGGTCAAGCTCGTCAACAGCGACGATGTTGACCTCAGGCTCAGTTCGTTATGGGCAATGAAAAACCTACTTCACAAATCCAGCCACGAGACGAAGCGTGATGTTATGCAAAGTTTTGGATGGCGGCGGCTCCTTAGGTACTAAGCACGACCACATCCTTGATTTTACTAATGTACCTTGTCTAGATTACTAGAAGAGCCAAATAATGCACTGCAGGAGCAAGCTTGGGCCGTCCTGCGTAATCTTGCGGAGGACGACAGTGGTGTGGAGATGATATCTCGGGAACGTGAATTCGGAGGGACTGTGCTCCTCGCTCATGTGACTCGCGTGTTAAAAAGCAGTCCGACCAAGTCATCCTCCGACGATGACATTATCCTTCAAGCGGCCTGTCTCCTTGGCAATCTGGCCAACGTCAACTCCATGCAATCATTAATCACGGGCAATGCTGAACTTTTGGGAGCGTTGCGAATGGTCTTAGCAGAACGGAACCCCAGTATCAGGCGACCTATCGTTGCGGCTGTTTTAGAACTGGCAAAGGGAAGTACAGTTGGTCGCAAAGCGCTAGTGGATGCTGGCTTGGGCGGTACTCTGCAGACTGTCACAGCAACAAGTCGCCACAGCAGTGTTTCTGGTCCAACAAGTCTCGGAATTCATCATAGCCATATGGAGGACGACCGAGATGTCATCGATCAGGCAAAGACTGCGTTAAGCTGGCTCGAGCATGGCGAAACATATCGATGAGCTTTCAGAGGGGTGTTCCCGCGATCCGGGTCGCTGGCGTCACTCGACGCCGCAAGTCATTTTCTCTCGGTCCAATGTTACATCGCATTGCTCAAGATGTGGCTGTTATTGGTTCCTCCGCCGTTGATCGTTGTTCCATTTGAGCGCAGTGGAGTCCAAGAGTCTAGAGAAATATAATCTCCTTGCGAGATTGTTTCTAGGCCAGTGGTCTACTACTATTTGTATCAAGTCAGCTGTCGGGCGACGAGCGTGCTTTCGCTCCACCGGGTGACTAGGAGCATTGATGCTTATTGAACTGTCTGCTCTCTTCAAGCTGCTAGCACGACAAAGGAACACAGCAACTTAATCTGGCGACTTCGGTCAGCGGAATAGAGAATCGAGTGTTATGATGCCTGGGATTCAGATTGAGCGATCTCGAAGCCACACCATATGCCAATGATTCCTTCCCTTTGACGACAATCGAGTTGGATGCCTGCTGACTCGTCTTCTTCTCCTACTACTTTATAGCTGCCATAAAGGCGAATGCATCACGATGTCCGAGGGTGTGATCAACTTGCGACGGCCATTGGATACGAACTCCTGGCGTTCTGGCCTGCACCCCCATCATGTCACGGCATGTCTCGGCTGCCCGGCCGGCGAGTGCTTTGACCAAGCTTTGACTGGGTTCCCTCCACGCTGTCATTCAGCCTCCGGAGTGTGTGTGAGAGTGGCTCGGCGTCACCGTGAGGCCGGGAGGTGGGAGGCGAGAGGTGGGAGGCGGGAGGTGGGAGGCGGGAGGCGGGAGGCGGGAGGCGGGAGGCGGGAGGCGGGAGGCGGGATGGGTGGCGCAAGAAACAGAGAGAAAAATCCATAAATAAATTCAAGTTTTTTTAAAATAAAAACATAAATAAATCCAGATAAAAAAACAAGGGCTACACTACTGAGTGGCTCGAGCGCCGTCCGGTAGACAATGGCCGCGACTGGCTGGTGAGGCCGATGCTCCAGCATCGCCGAGTCGCAGGCGGCGTTATGCTCGGCGAGCCCACGGACACGGAGAATGGCGCCGGTCGGTGGATGCACCGTAATCTCGAGATGGGCAGGGCAGTCCGTCAGCGGGAACGCCGCCGTTCGATTCTTGCTGTTTCGTTTTGTGTGGTCATAGCCACAAGTGCTGAGAAGGAGAATAAGCAAGAGAGCTGTGCAGAGCATGTAAAGACAACACACCAGACCATAAGAATGTACTTGATGCTCCATATGGCGGGAGGGCTACTGCGGTCCTTGTGGTTTGACCAGGCAATGGACCAATGCCCTGTCGGACAAGGACCGTCAGGATCATGGTGGACATTGTAGCGGGCGAGATGTGAGATGGCATCGACCTGGGCTGACGGGTTGGCGGTGTGGTCATAGACTAAGTCGAATACTAGGTGGCTCTTGGCCACTATCGCCGCCGCTCCAGCATCAGAGACAAACATTTTATTTTTGGGTAGTTTGCGATTGATGTCGGCGGCAGTGAGTCGGGGAATGCCATTTGGCGGCAGGGTGCGGTCCTTCGGTTTACCAGGCATCAGGAATGATCATGAGACGGGGTAGAGATGGTGGTTTGTGGTGGTTTGTACAGAGTGGCAAAGTTTGTTGGGAAGTCATATTGGGCGGACAATGGAGGTCTGGCGAAGAGGGCGTCATGGGAAGCGGAGAGCAAAGCGACAATCCCAAAATGACATTTGACAGCTCTTGCCGAGCGTGCCGTTGTCCGATCAGCCGATGATGGGGGTGCGGGCCCAAAAACCCGAACTCCTCTAAATCTTCACGTGTCGATCAGTTGATCATCCATGCGACTTAAATAGAAAGGTCGCTGTTGTTGGTCTTGTCTCTTCTTGTTGTTGCCTATCTGATGCTTCCTAGCTCACTGGCCATTTACTTACTCAGTCTCCTTGCTTTCGTGAACGCGGCACCATGCGATCTCTACGCCTCTGGTGGTACTCCTTGTGTTGCTGCTCATGCAACGACCAGAGCACTCTTCGACTCTTTCATTGGTTCGTTATATCAGCTCAAACGCGGCTCTGATAATGCTACTCTCAATATCGCCCCACTTTCGGCTGGTGGTGTGGCTAATGCTGCTGCCCAAGACTCGTTCTGCAACGGAACAACCTGCTTAATCACAATTATCTACGACCAGACGGGTCGCGGAAACCATCTTACGCAGGCACCGCCAGGTGGTGCCGCACAGGGCCCAGAGGCGAAGGGACTCGATAGCCTGGCGGCTGGTGGCGGAGCACCAGTAACATTGAATGGACGAAAGGCCTATGGTGTATTCATCCCTCCTGGGACAGGCTACCGCAATGACGCCACAAATGGAATTGCAGTGGTACGTTCGGCTAGGAATACGTCAATGGAGCTTACCTGTGTTCCAGGGCGACGCAGCAGAGGGTATATATGCGGTGCTTGATGGGACTCACTATAACGGTGCCTCGTATGTCATCTTGTCCGGCTTCTACTTAAAAAAAACTAGATCAATGCTGCTTCGACTATGGCAACGCAGAGACCAACGCTCAGGATACTGGTATGTCTGTAGGGTGTCTGGCATCGACAACTCCATTTAAATAAAATTAAAACAGGCAACGGGCATATGGAAACCATATATTTTGGTACAGCAGGCGGCTCCGGCGCAGGAAGTGGCCCTTGGGTCATGGCTGACCTTGAAAATGGACTTTTCTCTGGCCAGAACCGCAACTCCAACCCTGGCGACAAAACTATCAGCAGCCGCTTCATTACGGCCATCGTCAAAGGCCAACCCAATAACTGGGCAATCAAGGCTGGCAACGCCCAGTCGGGGACTCTGACAACAATGTGGAGTGGTCCGAGACCCACCGACGGATACAATCCAATGAAAAAAGAAGGCGCCATTCTCTTGGGTGTTGGTGGCGACAACAGGTTGGCGAGGTTCGATTCTGAACAATAAGGGTATCTTATGCTCCTTTTGTAGCAACTGGGCTCAAGGCACATTCTATGAGGTATCAAAAACTCCTTGACCATATTGCTTCCCTTAAAACGCTGCTAGGGTGCGATGACCAGCGGGTTTCCCACCGACGCCGTTGAAAACGCTGTTCAAGCCAACATTATTGGAGCTGGTTACGCTACTACTTCACTGGTTAGTGGTCCGGCAATGAGCGTCGGCTCAATTGTTTCTCTCCGAGCGACGACAGCATGCTGCAGCAATCGATATATTGCTCACAGTGGCTCGACCATCAGCACACAAGCTGTCTCCTCATCCGATTCAATTGCTACTAGACAATCTGCTTCTTGGTTGGTTGTTTCAGCCCTTTCTGCTACTGCGGCATCCACCCCGGGCACCTACTATCTGTCAAACGTAAGACCCGTTAGGTACTATATTGTGTATGGATATAATCTACCTAAATGGTCCGCCTCAACTCGCCACCAACGGTCCGATGTCCTGTCACGGCGTTAGCGGCCTTCGGAAGCTGTCAAACACCCTCAACCTCCCGCGGCGCCGCCATGGTGATCAGCAGTGGCGCTCCTTCAAAGCGCCGCACGTCCAACCGGCACGACAGACCGAGCACTTCTGGTGCCGGGAAGTATCATTTGACTCCCCTCAAGGCGCGGGATGGACGCATGAAGCGCGTCATTCAGCCTACCAAAAGTCAGGCTGTGCGTCGGGCTGCTCTCCGATCACAGCTTGCGCTCCTTCTTCAAGGCGACAGTATCTCGGATGGTCCACAGACACTCGGCAGCACCAGCGAGGAGCCTGGAGGCGACCAATGGGTGGATGAGATGCCCACCGATAGCCTCCCGGTCCCGTATTTTGAACCGGTGCAGGTGCCTCTTCCCCCGCGCCGAGCTGCGGTCTCTCGCTTCAACCTTGCTGATGCCTGGGGGAATCTCCTCCCTGCTCTGGAGGGCCCATGGTCCCAGTTCAAGCAGGCTACTTATGCCTCCCCACCCACTCACATTGGGCCCTCGCTCCACCATGAATGCCAGCATGCATGCGACACTTATATCAACAAATCAGTTGACTGTCTCTACCCCACGCTGTATGCTTTCTTCAATCATAGCTAGATTTTAGCTGATCCGGCCACAGATTTACAAAGGGTCTTCATCTCAACCTGCTCCTGCAAGCCACTAGCTGTCCTCTTGGTCGAAAACGGAGTCTTCCCATCATCCCCCCAAAGGCCACGAATCGCCGTATCCATCGATCTCTTAGAGCTGTACAGGGCGTTGTTTGAACGCTCCTGCGACGCGATTACGGCGCTGGCGAATGCACTTCAAACTGTGTATGAGCGGCGGGGCTTCAATATATCATCAACACAGGTGGGTTCAATTAGTTCAGCCTTCTTCACTCAACGCTTAATCATCTACGTAGCGGACCGGCGTCAAAGCGTCCAGATCCATTTCGGCGAAGCCTCACGCAGGCTGTCCTTTGGTCCAGTAATCTGCGCGACCGTATAGCGCTTAGAGTCAGTGCAGCTCTTGCTGCAGCTGACAGGTCTCTGTCATCCACTGCTCCCTCCAGTGGCGCCGCTACCTCCCCTTCGAATGCCTCCGCCGCCGCCTCAAATGCCCCCAATGCCCCCTTCTCCTTCCTTCTGTCCCCCCTTCGGACGCCTCCACCTCCGCCTCCACTGCTCCTACGGACGCCGCTCCTGTCCCTTCGAATGCCTCCGCCACCGCCTCCAATGACGCCTCCGGTCATGTCCTCCCTGCCTCTGGCACCGCCCATCACGCAGATCGATTGCTCCACGACCGCTGTCCACTGTGTTTTGGTGGGGTTGACTGGGGAAAACCACTATCCAGGTGCATACTCCAATGCTGTCTTGAGTTTCTGTGCTGATATATTCCAGTGGTGGTGATGTCCAACTGGGAGGAGATGCATGCTTTAGCTACCGTCACCTTCGTTCCGCGGGGGACGGCCCAATTGGTTATAAGCCCCAATACTTTGTCTCGAAGGCAAAGGTTGAGCAGGTCCGACGGCGTGTAGACGAAGCTAAGCGAAGAAGGCCAACGCAGACCCTCGATGACAGCTGTGCAGAAAATTGGACAGCTGCCAACGAGAAGAAGAAGTTGGTTGATCCCAAGCGATATGATGCCAGCGGCATCTTTGCTTTGATATGTCGCCATGGTCAAACACTTTTCTGCTGCAACATCGACACCCCAGGTGAACAGCACTACTACATCATTGCCCTCCTTGAGGAGGTGATCCAACTTTTGCCTCCCGATGCCACTATCTCCCAAGCATATGATGTAGGCTGTGTTATTGACCGTAGCCAGTATCTTGTAGGTTTTTTAATCTGTTTTTCTTTCTGTTGATAATGTTCTATTTAGTTTGATGTCCTGGGGACAGGTGTTCGTGAACGAATTAAGTTTGTTCTGAATGCCATGCATGCCTATGGCCACGAGTGGCGATGCCAACTCCAGTATAATCCACGGATGGTACTAGGAATGGGCTTGACTGACCATGAAGCTGTTGAAAGACTATGGTCACGTATCCGGAGGCTGATTCCAATTACCCGTGGACAATGGGCAAGTTCTTATTGGTATTGCAATCTTACCCTAATTCAAATTTAGAACTCACGTCGCATCTGGACCATTGACCAGTATATTGCCTTTGTCAACACAGACGGTTTCTACCGCTTGGGTGACTGGGTACTTCGGCAACAATCCAAAAATGTTCGGTCGCTATTATGATGCTGGGAACCTGCTACGCAGATGTGGTATCCCTATTTCTGATCTGCGGGATGAATGGGCAGCTCAGAAAGCAGCCCAAACTTCTGGTCGTAGCCGTAAGTAGTCAGATGTAGCTGTATCTGAGCTAACCCAGTTTAGATGCTCCAAAGCGCCTCCGCCGTGATCTTGATAAGGTGGTTGCCTTACAAGCTCAAATTGATGCCATCGAAAAATCTCTGGGAGATGTTCGGGAGTCAATCTCCAATCAGACGGCTTCTAATGACTCCTTTCGCCTCCTTCGTGAACTGCAGGCTACACATGCTGACCTAGAGAGGCAGGCAGAGGCCTTATACTCGTCTCTGAACATCCATCAGATCTATCCTGCTCTGGAAGGGCTACCTCCAGAGCTTGCCCGACTTTCTTGTTACTATGCGTGATCTGAAGATCAATATTCGGCGAAGGGCAATAGGCTCGTTTCAAGAGTGGGAAACTCTTGATCAGGCAGTCTCAGGCCGACGGGAACCATTGGGTAGATGCAAAAATATATTCTTCTACTTGTTATCTGACCGTTATTAGGAACCAAGTTATATCAAGCAACCCGTTCAACTATTACGAAACGTCAACCTGCTCTACTCAAAGCACTTAGGAAGTTTAATGGCTATTGCTCTGAGTTCGAGATTCTCCGACCTCCAGACTGTCAGATCGCTGTTCCACGCCCATTGCCAACCACTCTTGCAGCACTCCGAGAAGACTCCTCATTACATGAAGACATCTGGACAACTCCAACTGAGGGACGACCTCCACGATGGCTTGAGGATGAAGATGTTCGGCAAGGCATTCGCAACCTTCATATTGTTGATCGGTGTGGAGAGGAGGAGTTGAGACTTAAATCAGAAATTGCTAATATGCAGCTGTGGCTTGAGAGAGAGTTGAATGTTGCAACCTATGCAGTTCAAGGGAATGAAGGTATTGCCTTTTGGTTATGCTTCACCTTCTCACGCCTACTAGACCCTACTCTAGACCTCCCCCTTCAAGAAAGGGTAGAGTATATATCGAGCCTTCAATGTGCTTGGGCAAGGGGTATTGATAGTGGGGCATCCACTATGATTGCCTCTGTTAACTCAGCAGTGCCTTTGCCTGCAGGTGGCTTCCAGAGGCACCAGCTGGAGGAGTCAGAAGAGCTGCTTGATTCAGAAGGTGCTTTGTTTGAAGGAGCCAATGCTGATGAACAGGACCTGTCAATTATTGAACCTGATGAACCTGCTGAATCAGTTGACATCTTTCAGGAGGTCTTAGATGGCAATGATGGGGAAAGTAATACAGAGGTTCTTCAACTAGAAGACTTTGTGATTCAAATGGAATCCTCTGTGGTATGCATTTTCTTCTGTTAGGTTGGCCTTCATCTGACCTCATCCAACCTTCTTTAGCCTCCAATGCAGGTTGACACCACCTTTGTTCATGCCATTGAACAGTATCTTTCCTCTCAAGAAGACTCCCCTTCCCTCCATGAAACACGGGTTATCATTGATATCCATGGCCGAAAGCAGCTCATAGATGCCGAAGATCTCTCTCGCCTACAAGGGCCTACACGGTGGTTGAACAATTTCTGTATCAACGGGGTTGCAACAGCAATCATGAAATCCCTTCTCTCCGAGGAGGATATCGCCCAGTGCATTGCTTGACACCTTGGACCTCCATCGAGTCCAATATGGGTCGGATGAAGCCATCCTTTGGCACCATTTGGCTCCAACCGAATACTGGTCTAAACCCTTGTGGCTGATTCCTGTCCATCGACGCTCACAGCAGCACTGGGTCTTAGCTGTAGTGTCAGTAGAAGAGAAGTTGGTCTTCTTCTATGACAGTTTTGCAGAGGTGGAAGGTTGGGAGGCTGACTTCAAGGTATGTTATCACTTACTTACTTGCAAGTGCTTAAGCCTACAGGACATTGCAACTCTCCTCTCACATGTTTGCTCTTGCTGCTGCTCATGGTCACAAAATCAATACAAAAGCGGCCACTGTCCCATGGTCTGCACACCCATTATTCCACCAAGTGAGACATTGGTTTAACAGCTTTATTGCTCCAAGTTTAATGACTTTCAGAATGTGCCTCAGCAAAGCAATAGCCATGATTGTGGTGTCTGGGTTTTATGCATGCTCACAGCTATTCTTCGTGGTTATTCCACTGTGAATATTGCTGAGGCGGACATACCATATATCAGGAAGCTCTTCACTCGGCTGATCTATACATTTCCCCGGTATGTGCGGAAGAAAAGAGGGGATCAGAGGTAGTCCGTGGCGAACGGTGGTGGCTCAAAGGCGAACAGAGGCAGTTCAGAGGCAGTGGTACAGGCGAATGAAGGTAGTCTAAAGGCGAACAGTGGTGGGTTGGAGGCGGCCGGTGGTGGCTCAAAGGCGAACAGAGGCAGTTCAGAGGCAGTGGTACAGGCGAATGAAGGTAGTCTAACGGCGATCGGAGGGTGGGTTGGAGGCGAATGTTGTTCAGGTTATGATTGGACTCAACTCTTGAAACATTGGTAGTAAAGACGGTAGATAGTACGAGCCTCCCAATGAAGAAAGTCTTGCAACATAACAGCCTCGTAAGGATTCTCCACCATATCATAATGGATACTAAGTGCTCGATTCCAAACCTCCAGTCGCTTCTGTATCTCAGAGCGCAGCCCATCCATCAGTCCACGCTTCCCATAATTTGAGAGACCAAGATAGACGCGGTCTTGGACAATCTCTAGTCGGCTACGAACACCGTGTAGGAGTTCTGACAGTGCGGCAGTGTCCAAGCTATCGTATTCACAGGGCTGAGTGCTGCCAGAGAATGGTGGTTCATTGAGCCATCGGGAAATGGGGAGTTTTTCGATTGTGAATGCCAATTGAAATCCGAGACGAAATAGAGGCCGAGCTTCGGGTAGTGCACGGCGCGCATAGAGCTCGATTTTGTAGCTGGGTGCTCGTAGGCCACGTACGGCAGCCTTCGCTACACGTCGACGACTAGTTCGGGAGGCATTGTGCTGAGCGCGCATGATTTGCCCTCTGTGATTTGGAGTCAGCTAGTATTTAGACTGAATATTGCTGTAAAACGCACCGAGGACTCGTGTTGTATCTTCTGTTATACCCCTTGCATGCTGAGGCTTGTTCTTCCGTCGTATGGTATTTTTTGTGGCGACCCATGATACAGAGGTCAGAACTGAAATCGACTTGGATATGGTCACACTAAGGGTTTTGGATTATAAGAACATCTTCGCTAGCATAATGGCACTCACTACGAAAGACAAGTGCTGTGTATAAGCGTGTTCGGGCGGCTTCCCTGAGCTCCCTGATGAAATTTCCATTGGAAAACATGTAGAACTGACCTTGAACGCGTATCATCTTTGTGATGCGAAATTTACAGCGAGGGCGGGGCGGAGGCGGTGTGACGGATGTGACGTGGCCTCTTTTCGACCACACGTTCCAACGACGCCTGAATGCCGCTTCTGGCTCCTGGCTGCGGAAGCGTAAAAGCTTAACTCTCTAAGCCCGCCGCTCAATGGACTCAATGGCGGCTGCCCTGGCTGCACGTGCAGCATCCTTTTTCCTTCGACGACCACCACCACGACCCTTCCTCTGACTGTGAGCAATTTGCTCTTCACATTTCTCACTTATTCATCTCAACAGCGGGTTGTGGGACCTCCCACACCCAGACAGACTGGTTTTGGACAACCCATCTTGTTCTTGCGTCGCTCAACGACGACAAAAAGACTGTTTGGGCTTGCTGTTGCCCGCAGTCCCAGCTCATCTCAACTGGCCTTCTTGCAACTACAACCACCAGCTCTGACAACGAACACCGGCCCTACAACTTTTTTCGACTTTGCTTTTTTCGGCGACCATTTACTACTGTCTTGCTGTGTGAGCAAGCTATTATCCTTACTGTTCTAACCAACACTGACCCTTCCCTCTAGCTCTCCTACGAAACTGGCCTCCTTGCAACCAACTACTAGCTCTGACTGCCTCAACTCTTCACAACTTTTTGTCGACATCACTCAGTTTGTGAGTCTTCCCTTCATACTGACGCATACTCTCAACATTTCACCCAGATATCAAAAATGGACAACCAGCGTCCGATAGACGACCAACGTGCAATGTCTGGAGGTGGCGACGACGAATCTGAATATAGCACGAGTCCGTTATCCGAAGAAGGTCCACGATTGCGTCCCGACCCAGCCCTGGAGGGCGACTTTACCTTCGGAAGCGAGGACTACACCCAATTATCCGACAGCTTCTTTGCCTCTGATTCCCTCCGCAAACCTCCGAGTTACCCATCGCTATCTTTCAGATCGGATCTCAACTTCCAAATGCCAGACCCAGCTAGTGTCGACAACTACCAGCACGGCGATAGCTACGACTTCGCCACCAACAACTATGTCACCAACAACGAAAACAAGTATTACAACGAACACAACGATGCGGATATCAGCCTGCCAGCCATCACCACCATTGAAGACTCTGTCCGTCGACCACCAAAACTGCCACTGCCACTGGCTGGTTTTCCTTTCACGCCCATGGATGTCGGAGGTGGTGGTAGTCGCCAGTGGGAGGGGGGCGAAGGCGAAAGTAGCGGTGACAGCCTTCAAGAAGGCGGTGGTCGAGGTGACCCGCCTCCTGTTCCAGAGGCGGATCAACGTCATACCCGCCTGCGAACGACCATCCCACTCTCCGCGCGCGGTGCCTCCAGTCGCGATATCATCGCTGCGACAACCGCTCGACGCGTTCCCGAGTTCAAGAAGACGACGCCACAGACTCGGATTGCGTCAACCCTGCCCTCATCTCGCCGCCAAGGCCCAGAAGGCGAGAAAAGGCGGCCCTTCACACCGCACTACCGGTCTCCGCGGAGCGTGCGACAGCTTTAGACAGCATGCCTCCGACGCCAGCGAGAATGGGCTCCGTCCCCCTTGACCCGGCGAAGGCGAAGAGTGGGCCATCCCGCTCCGGATCTGCGCCTCCTATTTCCCCGCAAAATTTTCGAGGGACTTTCGCGGAGTTCCGTGAACAAGGTGGATTTGACTCCATTGCCCTACCACCGCCTCCTGTCGCCTGGACGCAGGCCCCTACCAAGCAACTCTCTCCTTTGCCGGAGATCTCGGAGGTGCCAAAGCGAAGAGGCCCTTTCACCAAGGAGCAACACAGCATCATTGACGGCGCTGTACAGGACGTCATCGATGTGCTGGAGAACGCTGCTGAAAAAGCTGGCCTCAGCGCAGACCGTATGCAAGAGTTGGTCTTTGGCAGAATGACCGATACTCCCTCGCGCTCAACAAACAAATGGAATCTCTACCAATCTTTCTTCGCTGATGGCGAACACCTCATGGACGAGATGAAGCGCATCCAACCCGACTTCTCACTTGATTCGTTGCCTGTTGACTCCGACAACGATCGAATCATCAGTCGTGATGTAGTGAAGCGCCTACCGAGCCTTCCTCGCCTACCATGGGGACGAGATGGCGTTGAAAATTCTGCAGAAGCATGACGCCCTGAACTCGCTTGGGCAGGAAACTCATCAGGGACGAAGGGCGGCATTTAATCGTATCTTGATCGATTGGCAGCGGAGGGTTAGTACTTACCATTGCTTTTGCTCTCATCACTTATGCTTACTAGGTGGACAATCTTGAACGCGCAAAACTATGAAGCATTGGTCGTTGTCCTAGGGCCCCGGCCATGAAGACAAGGACTTGTCTTTTCTTTGTACCACCAACGGAATTGGCTCGGTTAGTATCTGTCCCGCTTCTTTAAATCACTTGCTGACATACAAATTTAGTTCACAGATGTCCTTGACTGCGATAGAGATGACTTCGTGGGCTTGATGCAGGCCATTGCATAGTGCGTAACTTCTATTCTATTCGGAATCTTTGTGTTAAATGACCTTTCATTAGCAAAAGTGCAGTACAACCTATTTCAGAGGCATTCCGTGCTGCGTTGGGAGCACAGGCATCGTCGGGCCAAGGTCAATCTGGTGCTCGCAAAGCAAAAGATGCCTTCGCCCGACAACCGCCTCCGGCCACCACCGGCCTACAACCGCCGCCGGCCACCGCTGTCCCGCAACCGCCGCCGGCCACCGCCGGCCCGCAACCGCCTCCGGCCGCCCCAGAAGTGCCTACGACCACCCTACAGGTGCCGCCGCCAGAGGATTCCAAGGTGGTTAAGGGCAAGGGCAAGAGAAAGAAGGTGACGGAGACCGAAATAGCAATCCGGGAAGTCAAGCAAAGGTTTTCCAAGTGCAGCATTGAAGACGTCGGAATCGACATATTCACGCGCCTTGGCAACAACCACTTCTCTTGGACCACGCTTCCTCGGAACCTCTTCCCAGCTGGGTACCGCCTCGTCAACTATCCCACTGGCGCTCAGTTGCCGGTCGAATGTGACTCGAGTAAGGCAATCGGTTCATTGCGAAAAATCGACTGCGAAGCTTTCAATGCCGGCATGGATGAGCGCAGGCCCGGCCTCCCCCTTCACCGGATTCCACGTCGAGAAAATGCCAGGACCATTGAAACCTGGTCAGTTATTTCTTTTATATTAAGTTCTCATTCTAATAATCCTTTTAGACTCCGTGGTAATAGTTCGACACGACTTCTCCCACCCCCCGCCTCCGAACGCCACCGAGGAGCAGCTCAAGGTCCACTACCTAACATCGCGCAACATCCCTCTGGAGCATGTCAATGGGAAGGGAGAGGTTTGGCGAATGCCTTACGACCTCATCGCCAACCCCGTGCTCGAAACTCCGTCTTCGGCCAACCCCGTGCCGGGTGCTGAGAAGGTCAATTTGGAGGAGAAGAAGAAGGATGGTGGTAAGAAGGGGAAGGGAAAGGCGACAAAGCGTCGGGCTCCGGCCCAACCTAACAAGGCTCGCAAGCGGCGGGGATGTCAACGCCGGAGGAGGACGCCGAGTCCTCGGCAGACAATAGCGAAGACGAAGACAGCGAGGAGGAAGAGGAGGAGACCGTTCGCTCGGCCGCCCAAGTTGGGGGAGCTCCGCAGCGTCGGACTCGCTCTACCACTGCGGCGCCAGCTGCGGCGCCAGCTGTGGCGCCAGCTGCTCCGAGACGACTCAAGCCGGTAGCCACCAGGCCGGCAGCTTCTAAACCGGTCGCCGCCAAACCAGTCGTTGCCAAGAAGAATAAGGAGTCGGACAGCGACTCTGGGGACGATCAGGGAACTCCCTCACCGCCAATGAGGTCCAGACCCAAGCCCAAGCCACTCTTCATGGCTAAGTCGCCGAATACGGATGCCGCGCCAGCCAAGAAGCGCACGCGAGATCCTGACCCAGAAACACCCGACTCGGCCAAACGGCCTCGCTTGTTCTTGGACGCAGTGGAAATCCCATCGGCTCCAAGTCGACCTACGGCTGCCTCCCAACGGCCCAATCCACAGCCTACGGTTGCCGCTCCAGCCCCAGTCGCGGGGTCAAATAGAGGACCGGGAACGATTGCGGGGGTCGAGCAAAGGACCGGGAACGATTGCGGGGGTCGAGCAAAGGGCCGGGAACAATTTCGGGGTCGAGCAAAGGGCCGGGAACAATTGCGGGGGTCGAGCAGAGGGCCGGGAACAATTGCGGGGGTCGAGCAGAGGGCCGGGAACGATTGCGGGGTCGAGCAGAGCGGGAACGCTTGCGGGAACTTCGACTGCATTAAACGCTGGCCCCCCGCCACATGCGCCGAAGGTAGACCCAGTGTCGTCAAAAGTAGGCCCCCCGACAAAGGCAACGTCGGGCGAAAGTAGGCCCCCCGACACAGGCAACGTCGGCGAAAGTAGGCCCCCCAAAGAAAGCAAGCACGACTGCAAGTGCTTCTGCAGGTGGTGTCGTTGACCCAGTGCCTCCTCAATCGACAACTTCTACTGCTTTTGGTACCCGGATGCTCCCCATGGACTCGCTCACCCAGCTTGCTGCGCGGTTCACACAGCTATCGACTGAACGGCAACAGTACTTCTTGGGGATGATGCACCCGCAACAGCATCCCGCACTCTTCAACCTGCTCAACGAAACTGGCCAGCAGAGTTTCCTGGCATTATTGGACTTCGACCAGCAGCTAGACTTTTTTGTTCGGCTCGAAAGCTCCAAATGAGGATGTGCTGAGGAGACGCGCTGGAGAAGGATGGTGAGAAGTGTTGCACAGGAGTTCTTGCTGTTTTTTTTGCTTTTTTTGCTTTTTTTGTGTCATCTGTGCCCACCTTCGTTGCCCTCCACTGCCGCTGTAGCCTATCGCACGAACCTCACGAACATTCTGTACATTTATGACGACTTGCTGTATTAGACACACTAAGAATGACTGTTTCATGTGTCTTGAATCGTTATGGGATGAAGGGCAAATAGATATAAAATGCAGCTGGAGGTTGCGCCTCCCTCGCCTCTGAGGACCTCTTAGGTGATTCATTCACATACAGAATAATGTACCTAAATGGTCTGTACGTAAGCTAATGAGAAGGTCACCTAGGTGGCGGCATCCAACGGTTGTATCTCCTTCCAATCACGAGACACACCTGGGAGCTACATCAGGCACTCCGGCTACCAACTCTATGTCAATGCTAACGACGGCTCGAAGTTGTTTGCTGAAGATGCGACGTGGTGCCCCGCAGCCGGCATTAACGGTCAAGGCAATTCGATTCGTTCATGGAGCTATCCAGCCCACTGGTGGCGCCACTATAATGGCATTATGTACGCCGCAAGCAACGGGGGCCCTGCCGAGTTCGATGCCCCAGCGGTGTTTAACAATGACACAACATGGATTATCACTGCTGGACTTGGATAGTAGATCTAGCATGCAGATGTATCTTGTACCAAAATCCCCGAGTACGAAGCACGTATTGTGCGCTTCCAATGGACTCACTTTTTATCTGAATGTTCACTAGCAGACTCAGCCTAGGGGCGACCAGCAGATGAGTTATGATCTAAAGTTGACGAAAAGTATGGGTTGTGCACATGGATGGACACGACACAAAGTTTATAGGTTAGCCTGTTAGAGACGGCAACGCCGACATGAGTCCATGTGACTGATAGCCAAGGAAGTGTGACGTTGTCCTCCTCGAAACAACCATGACGTCGCCAGAATTGGAGGATGAAGCTTCGGATGTCCATGTTAAACGGAGAAGGGTCCAACGTGCCTGTGATCCCTGTCGACAGAAACGCGGTACGGGATTCCTCCGCCCGTGGTCAAGCAATCCGGCATGCGTTTAACGGATGTTCGTAGGCCCTTGTGCGTTCCGTTGTAGATTCATATGTCTCTCTATTGCTCAAGATTTGGCTCAGGCGACGGGACTCGAAGCCCCTATAAGAAATGCACGTATTGTGCAGCCAACCACCTCGATTGCACTTATTCTGGCGCCTCTGCGAAAATGGTAAAGGTCCCCTTTGACTCTAGAACGGACACTCATCTCTTGTCAGAAAGGAAAGAGGTATCATCGTAAACATCTGCCCATCTCACTCTTACCAAGGATCTGCAGCTATACAGAAGCGCTAGAGGAAAGACTAACCGCAATGCAAACGCTATTGGACAAGGTTCGCAGAGCAAAAAATCAGTCCTGTATGCTTATCTCGTTGCCATTCAGTATCAAACAACAAGTGATATACATGTCAAATTCGAGGCTCTTTGGGACTGACTCAAGCCTAGGCAGCCACACTGGCAAGCAAAAGCCAACACCCATTCCTCCCCGAATCGGGCTTGAATTCGCGTCTATGAGCATCCGTTTTGCTCGCGATGCTGAACGTAGCAATCAATCGGCTGAACCCGCGGAGATCACTATGTCTGACCAACTAATGGAGTGGATGGGCGAAGCAAATTACCCTCCGGGATCAACCTGGAATGTGTGTCGGAGTCAATTCCTTGGCGAATCGAGCGGACAAAAGGTTATCAGCACCACCCTGGACATGCGCAACGACAACACGCTGCATGAATCTTCGGTGGTCTTAGTTCCAAACGATTTAACTCCTCAGCCCTCTTTTGCTTGGCGAAAAAGTGGCTATTGGCACACCAAACCATGGAGTGTCATTCCGTCGACAGCAGCAACAAACGGCGTGTCCTCGTATAATTTTCCTCCTTCCACCCTCCTTTCCTCCCTCGTCGCCTTATATTTTACCCACATGAACGTCTACATTCCCCTTCTACATCGACCGATTTTCGAAAAGCTCATCGCTGCCAAGATCCATGAAGTCGATTCCAAGTTTGCGGAGACCGTGCTTCTAGTCTGCGCCATCGGAGCGCGTTATTCAAATGATCCGGAGGTTTTGCTGGACGCGCGCATCGATGGTCGCGATGACGAGCGCCAGAAACAACTCTCCAGTGGCTGGAAATACTTCGTTCAGGTTCCTTTGGGTCTAGATAGCCTCTACGAAACGCCAGGGCTATTTGACTTGCAACGTTATTGCGTAGGTTTCGTTTGGATTCCGTGGTAAATGCGCTGAGTATATGCTATAGCTTGCCATCCAATTTCTCGAAGGATGGGAAACGGAGAGTACTTGGGCCCTCATCGGGATCGGCATACGCATCGCCCAAGGAGTTGGAGCACATCGGCGTCAAACCTCCGGTCCGCATACCGTGGAGGCAGAACTCTGGCGACGGGCTTTCTGGACACTTGTGTACTATGACCGTACCATCAGCTGCGCCCTTGGACGGCCTGCGGGATTACTATACGACGAGTTGGTTCTATGATTCCTTCTTCCTTGTCTGATCTAATTACAGCTTTGATTTGCAACTCCCAAGTGAGGTCGACGATCTGTATTGGAAAAGCAAGCAGCCCTCCGAGGTTCCTTCACGAGTCGTTTTCTTCAATGCCTTGATGAAATTAACCCATATTCTCGCATGGGTTCTGCGCTTTCTCGTTGCGTTCTTTTCATGATGAATGGACAGTGATATGACTATCTGTAGTACTCTCTCGACAAGAAAAATGCGCTCTATGAGGCAGGCAGCGAACAATGGAAGGAGGATTTGGTCGTTGAATTGGATTCAGCGCTCAATGAATGGGTCGATGCCATTCCGGAACATTGTAGGTTTCTTGCGAACCCTAGGGTCCCACCAACCTGAATCTACAGTGCGATGGGATTTGTCACAACCTCCTGAAGATTCTATATTTTTTCAGCAATCCGCTGTTCTTTATTCCTCTTATTACCAGGTCCAAATCACCATACACCGTTCATTCATCACCCGACAAGACGTCGGCGGCGACTTGGTTGGTGTTATCACAACTCTCCAATGTAGTTTGACCATTCTTTCACACAGCAGCGTCTTCCGTCGTTGGCTATATGTACTGCTGCTGCGCGTTCATCTGTCCGAATTGCCGAAGCCTGGATACAACGGTATCCCAAGAACGACCGCACGAGCCCGCCGCCAGCACTCTTAGTCTACCCTGTTGCAACCGCTGCAATCATTCTTTTATTAAGCAGTTGGCAGAAACATGTAACCGCCAATGAAGGGGTCAGAAAACAGGTCGACATATGTCTAGAGGTGATAACCGTCTGCGAATTGCGGTGGGTTTCTTTCGTCAGGACATTTTTGTCGATGCGCTGACGCCTATATAGATGGAGGAGCGCTGGAATTCTCCGAGACATTTTGAATGGTTTAGCGAATCACAGTATGATGGCAACCGACGCTCAAGGATTCTTGGATCCACTTCTGGGCAATAACAGGATCAGTGATTTTGGCATCCCGACAGAGCAGCTGCAGCGCCTTGTGCATGCGCCAACCGGTTTTGGGCACGTTTTCTGCATCAATCGAGGGCGAGCCCCGACTGACTGTTGTTCCATAGCGCACATGAGTGGTCGACTTACTTCAGGGGAGGCGTTCGATCGGATGGAAACCTCGCAGGATGAAGTAGGACTGGTCAGATAACCCATTTATAGTAATGACACGCGTCATGATACCGAATATTTTTTGGCTGCTATAAATACTGAGACCCGCGTTGTGACCAGCACTGTTCGTCTTTTCCTCGTACCAACACCTTTCTCACCTGAACAACACGATGACCACCTCGCCCAGCCAAGCGAATGGCAATATGCACAGCGTCAAAGGAACTGTTGTTGAGAACGTCGGTTTGGATCGCGTCGCGCCTCGACTCGCGTATATTGACCTCGTCGTAGATTGGCAATCTGACTGGCAGCGACAGCCTGAAGAAAGACGGAAAGCAGGAGCACGCGCAGGTGCGCTTGTCATTACTCACACTTTGCCAGTTTTCCATTCATCGTTCGGACAGGGCGAGGCAGAGGTTAAGGCAGCGCAGACCAAAGGCTACGTTGAGGGGATGATGGAGCGCGTTCAGGGCACCGTAGACTCGGTCCTCGGAGCCGTCAAGGGCGACAAGACGCAACAAGCCAGTGGTGAGTGTTGTCCAACTGGTCGGCATTACCACTGACAATGTTTGTAGGCGATGTTCAAGACGCGGCTGGCGAAGCCAAGATGGAGGCAAACAAGCCTATGTAGTCGTTGAAGCAGCATATGTGTATCGAAGAGGCAGATAGCTTTAATAGTAATGTTGCCAGTGGCTCGCGTTCAGTTTCTGCCTGCCTGTTGAAATACCAGGCGGGTGCTTCTAGCGAGGTGCGCCCCTACAACCCAGGGAATGTTGATCCGCATTGAGGCTTAGGCCCAAGATAGTAACTCACATCTCAATTCGAGTCTCAATACATATTCCACTGGCAAACCACCTCTTGACGTTACAACTTGCCAGTTGGCATTTCCTTTGACCTAGAATACTTATTATACAAGTTCTTGGGACACACAAACGCCTTGCAAACGCCAGACAACTCACCAGCAACCACATCTACAAGTGAGCGAGTCCATGACTACTGACAGCTGTCCAGAAAAGAAGCATCCAGGCCACGATCGAAGGCTGCGACGACGATTCTGCGCGGGAAGGACGTAAAATTCGAGGCGGGGGAAGGCCGGGGTCGGATGGCATGTTTGCGGTTCCCTGTCCAATCCATGGCCGACGTCTCTTCATTTCTAAGTTTGAATGGATGTGGCATAGGGCATGTTTACATGACTTCTTTCCCGATATTACGAGCAAGGTCGCTATAAACCACCGAAGAAGGAACGAGGCAGAGTTGCTGACAAGTCGCCTGTTAGATTTGGATTTGAACAGTGTACGTCGATAAGTATTTATTTCCTCTTGAAGCAACGAGCTTTCTTTGACCTTCTGTTCGGCCCACTTGATGGCTAGGCTCATTCGATGGCCAGGCACAATTCTGATGTTCCGCAAACTTGAATTCAAGGGCAAATATGGATGGTTTTCAGGCTTCAGCCTCTATGTCAGGCTTCAGCCTCAGGCTCTATGTCACAATATGCCAAGTCCACACGCATTGCGTAGGTGCACGTCATGTGCGGAGGTTGGCTTCCACTCACTGCCGTCCGTGTTGCAAGTTGCGCCATCAGTTGGAGTAGCCACGTACCTGCTCACCTATACCCTCCAACAGGTTATGAGTCCGCTAGTGTCTCGGTACTCGGGATCGTAGCTTTAAGTGGAAGCCTTTTGGCGTTCTACAGGAATGCGTCGTGCATATAGGTCCGAATGATTGCCAGGCATTCGGTTACTGTGGTAAGTGGTGGGGGAGCTTCAAGTGTGCTGGAAAAGGTCCGATGAGGAATGCTGTTGGGAGGGTCACCGTGACGCCGGTTTCAAAACACAACACAACCGTATCAGACAACATCGTTTTGATTGCCACGTGCAATTCAATTTTTGCGCTAAGTACTTCGGATACCACTCTACTTATGTGGTTATTGCTTAGCACTTAGACCACGTATGCAACTCTCCCATTTCGAAGGCCAGGATCCCGTGAAACGCAGCCGGCACGGCTGCCCGCAAAATGGGCTCGATGAAACTCCGGAGCCGCGGCAAATCGTTCGCGTTCGCGTCCGCTTTATACAGGTTGCCCTTCCCCTCGACAAGGAACCTCAGTTTTCTCAAAGACGATAGAATCCTGTGCGACTTCAATACTTGGAATAGGTGCGAGACCTGTTCCAATTGAGCCTGGGGCGACGTCGCATCTGGCGTCACCGGCCGCACCGCCAGAATGAGCGTGTCGAGCGGAGAGGTTAATTGGAGCAGAAGCTTCTCGACAAACGGCTCGAAGCCGACGACATAGCTTCCGTTGGAGGTATGGTAATGGAGAGCGGAGCGAAGTTCGAGAGTGTGCAACGCAGTGAGCCCCACTAGGCTGAGGGCCCCGTCGTTCATGACGGCTTGAGAAAGTATTGTGAATATCCATCCATCGCGGGCAGAGAAAGCATCGACGTACGCGTAGCCGCGTGGTTCTCCGGTTGGATGCACAGAGACTCAAGTTGTCGCCCGATAGTATGGAGATATCGAGAAGAAAGCTCCATATTCGTCTGGTGCTTGTACGCGCTCAGATGTAGATGGCGAGGGTATACTGTGTGGGAAATAGTATCCCAGAAGCCCGTCATGTAGACATTGAGGTATAAGAAGTCCAATCGCAAAGACATCGTCATCAACGGGACTGGTTGCAGGACGGTATTATCTGACGCACTGGACCACTGCACTTCATTCCACGCGAGAGTGCGTAGAAGAGGTAAATTCTGAAAAGAGCGAAGCACATTCTCTTCAGAGATGAATCGAACACGGTGGAGTTCTAGTTTGTGCAGTTGGGGGAAGCAAGGGATGTCGGAAGGGAGCACACAATGGTCAATGACCATTGAGCGCAGCGAGACAAATTGGGATAGCAGTAGCTCGTGGGTATAGCGGGCGTATGCTAGATGGAGAGTGCGTAGGTGGGGCGCTAGTGAGGACGTCGCTGCGATATTTCGAAACTGGAATTCGCTGCCTCTACGAAATACGAGCCGGAGATGGCTGCGGGCGATAGGAAGCCAGTCAGAGCATGTCAGGCTCGCGGAAAGCAAGCTTGAGTTGTCGAGATCGCAGAGAATAAGATCCACAAGCTCGCTGGGGATACTGGTCATGGTCAAAACGATTCTCACGGGGTAACATCAATCAGCTAAGTAAGCTTTCCGCAACTCTGCAAGGTCCACTGAAGTAATTAAAGTATGTATGAGTACAAAGAACAAGTCAATTGACTCAAGGTATAAGGTCTATGTGCGAAGTCAGCACGGGTATGAATGATACCGTTTTGTGTATGTCCAAGTTCGTATCAAAACAAGTCTTGCCCCTCTGCCCTGCATCAATCCCTCTCCAAAAAAGGCGAATCCGGCTCCATCATACCCATCGCAGCATGCCAAAACCACCCATTCTCGGGGTTTCTGAACCACCCTGGCCGTGCAGGATGCGTTTCAGTAAATCCTCGCGGCACGGATGCAGCAGAGCTCGGGTTCAGCATTGCCTGTGAGGAAGAGCCTGAGTATCCGTTCAAATGGGCGTCAGGAGTGAGATATGGGAGCTGGAAGGAAGACTGGCGCCGATCGAGCCAGCTTTGCGGTGGATTCGGGCTCGTGGCGCGACTTGAAGAGGAGGACGACGACGACAGCTGTGTGGTGGTGCTCCACGCGGGCGAGGCTGGCGGTTGGGGATATTCGCGGTCTGTGCCTACTCTTCCAATGGCATTCCGAGTCGAGGGTGTGGTGTTGATTGGGGCACTTGGTCGCGGGTGTTCTGCAACAGGACGAACAAAACCGGTTTAAAAGCCGCGACAACTCCACATATAGACCGAAGAATACCGGAGAGAAAGCGGCGGCGATGGACCCAGTATGCCGCGATATTCTGGGAGCTCACAGGGTGCGTGATGTAGGTCCTGTCTCTATGCGCTGCGAGACATCAGAAAAACGACCAACGGGGGTGGGAGTAAAGCACCATGCATGATTTTCGTCCGATAGAACGTCATACGTATTGTCGCAGGTGCACCGACCCAGATCCAGGCATCCGCGTTTTTCCACGTGATAATTGGCGCAGTGTTGATGCGCACCCACTCGCGAGTGTTCGTTGGCTACAATTTCAAAGTTATTCGCATCAATCTATGCAAATGATGACGGTCACGAGACCCACCGTCGTTTCGCAGAGGCGCGCAATCTGGAGGGACTCCGCTTGAACGTCAACCGCGAGGACAAGACACGGGCGCTGGTCGCGCTTGGTGACGTCTACAGGGAACGTGGGCCCATTTATGGTCTCGTATGGGTCGAGACACCAGATAATGAGGCCCGGGAAGAACTCTGAGGCATTCGTGAACGGCGGAAACATTATATCGCAGTTGCTTTGTTAGTGTGAGTCCGAGTGAGATGGGTTGACTGACGAGCGGACCTCGTTTTTATCCCATGGAATTGAGACAGACGCCGACGCTGAGTCGGTGATGGCGCGACAGCTCGAGTCAGCTTGAGTCACGGCGGCGCATCATCCCCGACGCCCGCGGGAAAGTCGGGCGGCATGGAAGAAGCCACGCGTCTCAGATCTGTCGCATCAGGGGTACGCAGGTTTTTGGGCCCGCACCCCCATCATCGGCTGATCGGACAACGGCACGCTCGGCAAGAGCTGTCAAATGTCATTTTGGGATTGTCGCTTTGCTCTCCGCTTCCCATGACGCCCTCTTCGCCAGACCTCCATTGTCCGCCCAATATGACTTCCCAACAAACTTTGCCACTCTGTACAAACCACCACAAACCACCATCTCTACCCCGTCTCATGATCATTCCTGATGCCTGGTAAACCGAAGGACCGCACCCTGCCGCCAAATGGCATTCCCCGACTCACTGCCGCCGACATCAATCGCAAACTACCCAAAAATAAAATGTTTGTCTCTGATGCTGGAGCGGCGGCGATAGTGGCCAAGAGCCACCTAGTATTCGACTTAGTCTATGACCACACCGCCAACCCGTCAGCCCAGGTCGATGCCATCTCACATCTCGCCCGCTACAATGTCCACCATGATCCTGACGGTCCTTGTCCGACAGGGCATTGGTCCATTGCCTGGTCAAACCACAAGGACCGCAGTAGCCCTCCCGCCATATGGAGCATCAAGTACATTCTTATGGTCTGGTGTGTTGTCTTTACATGCTCTGCACAGCTCTCTTGCTTATTCTCCTTCTCAGCACTTGTGGCTATGACCACACAAAACGAAACAGCAAGAATCGAACGGCGGCGTTCCCGCTGACGGACTGCCCTGCCCATCTCGAGATTACGGTGCATCCACCGACCGGCGCCATTCTCCGTGTCCGTGGGCTCGCCGAGCATAACGCCGCCTGCGACTCGGCGATGCTGGAGCATCGGCCTCACCAGCCAGTCGCGGCCATTGTCTACCGGACGGCGCTCGAGCCACTCAGTAGTGTAGCCCTTGTTTTTTTATCTGGATTTATTTATGTTTTTATTTTAAAAAAACTTGAATTTATTTATGGATTTTTCTCTCTGTTTCTTGCGCCACCCATCCCGCCTCCCGCCTCCCGCCTCCCGCCTCCCGCCTCCCGCCTCCCGCCTCCCGCCTCCCACCTCCCGCCTCCCACCTCTCGCCTCCCACCTCCCGGCCTCACGGTGACGCCGAGCCACTCTCACACACACTCCGGAGGCTGAATGACAGCGTGGAGGGAACCCAGTCAAAGCTTGGTCAAAGCACTCGCCGGCCGGGCAGCCGAGACATGCCGTGACATGATGGGGGTGCAGGCCAGAACGCCGGGTACGCATCAGAGAAGAGGCGGCGTTTCTCATATTGATGGCGGGAAAGGCGGACATGCGTATGCAAATTCGAAGTCGAGGTTGTCCTCTTGACGTGTCTACCTCGTGATGTTGAATATATAGGCAAGTTTGAGTGAGATACGAGCGGAATGATGGGAAAAAGTCATAGGGCAAAGAAAGAGTCAACTCGAAGACGGGGTATGTACATCGAAGATAAGGCACATTAGATTGCACTTCCCTCATAAAGATGCTCAACAGCAATCTTCAGACCCTTGGCTTTGAGCTGTCGAACTTCTTCAACCGCATCGGTATTCTCCGACACACTTCCGCGACGAGGAGCGGTAACTGTCATGCTAAAGCTGAACGGGCTTGCACGGCCGGGGGCACGCAACGCAGACAGAAGGGCGGGATACGGCACGGCCGAGCGGAACGAGTCGACATGGAGAGACTGGAGCGAAGGGAGGAAAACCATGGCGGGCGCCTGATCATAGCCTTCTCCGACTTCTTGTTCTCCCATCTGCAGGTCACCCGCGAGCTTGTCGAACAACGCACATAAAGTGTTCTCGCCCGCATGCCGCAACTCGAGAAATCTCAAGCGCTTCATCCCTTTGCCACTGAACACTTGGCACAACCCTTCGGCAGGCAATGGCGCCAGCGCAATCGTCAGGCTCTCAAGATTTGCGCGGTCGACAAAAGCAGTGAAGGCCGAGACATCATCAGGCGTTAACGTGGGCAAAACCAGCGATTCGAGAGCAGGAAGATCACATGGTAGAAGTCGAAGAAGCGCACGAATCGGTGCTGTGGAAAGGGCGGCTGGGTGGACATTGATACTGAGGGACTTGAGGGCCGAATGCGCATATTCGCCCGTTGCATTGTCTTCCACGAGCTCCGTCCACAGCCCACCGGCAGGGGGGCAATCAATTTGCACATGCAAGTTGGTCAACAACGGTGTTGCTCGCAACACGTTCAACGAAGAGTGGATATCCGAGCATTTCACCTCCAACGACGTCAGTTGCGTCCACGGGAGTTCGATAGAGTCAGGGCATGGCGGAATCTTGTAGAGTTTGACCTCGGTCAACAACGGGGCTTGGCTGAAGCAGGTGATGGGAAGATGGGAGGATTGTCCAGATCCTGGAACAGGCACGATCCCGAGTGATAGGCGGCGGAGATGGCAGAAGCCGCTCTCTTGTCTCCTGCCATATTGGGTCATGGTGTCGAGGGAAGCCATGGTCGTTGAATGCACAAATAAATCAACGTTCGTCCACTGGTCTGCGCTCCCCGCCAACAAAGAGATGGTGTCATCCAACATTCGATGTCGGTAGTGCAAGTATAGATCAAGCGGGTGTTCTTTACTATGCGAGAGCCAGAAGGCCAGCATTGCGTGTAGGGAGCTGTCCTTAACAGGACTGTAGAGTTCGAGGGAAACGGCGCTCCATAGTGCGGGAGTTTGCAGCGCAATAGCGCGCCAACGGGCACAGATACGGGTAAAAAGAAGCGGAGAATGTCGAGAGGAGAGATTAGGGTTTGGATGTGTGTCAAGACTGTGCACGAAGATGTGAGCAATGAGCTCGACAGGGAGTGAGTGGATTGGGTGGTTGCTCATATTTGGTAGGGGAGGGAGAGTCGGGCAATCCTCGTCATCGTCTGCTGCTAACTTAAGCTCCGTCTTGTTTGTCTTGATTCGGTATCGGTGGTGTTTTCCTGCCATCGGCTAGCTTCTATTGCTTGCGGAAACAAACGGCTAAGCGAAGAACAAGACGGCGTTAGACGGCTAAGGTTAGCCTGTGCTCGTGGAAAAGGAATGGCGAGATTTCGGGTTACTAGGCTCTTCCGTCCAGCAGGCTAAATAAGGGCCAAGGCACCCATGACCACCCACACCCACACCCGGAAGCATCAGCCGCGGTATCGTATCCTTGGACTTGATGGAGGTGGGAGCAGCTTGACACCGATTCTAAGGCAAGTACGGAATTTTGAATAATGCTCAGCATCCGTTGAAGGGTGACGCACTCAAGTAGCGGGAACAGATAGTAGAGCCTGAGGAAACAGATCTGTCCTAAGCCATGCTCATCTCGTCTTCGAATCCGACCTTTCCACGCGAACTCCATGCCACGAAGCATGGCGTGAGTTGTTGTCAACATGACGTCGCAGCGTTGGCTGGGAAGCTACTTGCCTGAACAGTTTGCTGAGAACGAACACGACAGCCGAACAAGGGAAAGTAAAACGTGCTTACGCTAAATGAACTCACAGAGGCCAGGATGCTCGTAAATGTTGCGTCGAGACGATTTGCATGTGCAGGTCGGAGGGGTTTCCGTGGACAAGAAAGCAGAGAAAAGTTTGGAGTAACGCGTGACACTGTTCTATGGGTTACTCTAGGTTACTCTCAACCTCCCGCGGCGCGCCCATATATATCTGCGGACGCGGAGGACTCTTGTACGAAGCAATTTGCCTCCAGATTTGCCCCATTTCCTAATCAAGCTCGGAAAACTTATCCGCGCAAAACCAAGAGTATACATATTCAAGAAAACCGTTCTCTTTCTGGCTTTATTTACCGTGACCAACCCGGAAATTCCAACCAATCACGATGAGAAACCTCCTCTGCATCGCTATTCCTCTCGGCCCGCGCGGAAAGTGGGGTCTACAATGTCTCAAACTCGACATACATCTTTCAAAACCACAGATCCTTCCCAGTCCGAGACGCTTTTCCCTTAAACTTCTACCCACTCTGACCTGGCCTACTCTTGCTATCCCGTGACGACCTCTTACGACTCATCCGCAACTCCAACGATGCTGGCCTTCTTTGCCCCTCTAATCGTACTCAGTACCGTTACTTGCCAGGCTCTTGCGTCACCCCGCACACCAGCGACGGTTACTGTAACTGCGACTGTCACCACGACTACCACAATATTCCGGTGCTCCTCACCTCCAGTGAGCCGGCTCGGGAGTGGCATCGGGCTACTCTCTGGTGCACTCTCAGATGTACCCAGTTCCCTCGTCGCCACCAGCACACCAGCACCTTTATCGTCTCCAACAAGCCTCGTCCCTCCTAGTAGTGCGAGCCCGGGCTTTGACATTAACACTGTTATCGGTCCGCTCTCCCAATCAAGAGTTTCCTTCTCTCATATAGGGAGGCAACTTTCTGGGCTAAGAGACTTGTTCGCACAAACAAACGATTCTCAGAAAGATATCACTACTGAGGTCCGCGTCTGATATCATCCTATTAGTGAAACCACAACCGACATACTTTCTAGGTCGCATTCATTGACCGGCTTGTACCACTGTTCAACACACTCTCCACGCAGCTCCAGAGCGCTGCTGCCGCTCTAAAAGCCAGCAAAAGTATGAGCAACTCCGACGCCATCCGTGTCCAGAGCGTGCTAAGCGCACTCAATGCTGAGCTGCAGACGCTCTCCTCGCAGATTGACAATACCGTGGTTCAAACTGGGCACCCGGGTGTCGACCTGACGTTGCTCAGCTCGGCTTTACAAACCCTCGTAGCAAGTATCTCCGTGAGTGCCAGTCGAGCTCTTCCAATGGGACCTTTCTAACTAGTATTGTCTATCACAGAGTCTATCGGCATCGTTGAATCGATCAGCTGCTCAATCAGGAGCGCTTCAGGATGGGTTTGCCGCCTTTGTGGACCAAATAAACGCCACTTTATTGCACATGTAATTGATCAATATATAATGCTCCCTGCAAATCATACTAAATTCAATTAATCCAATTTCATAAAGCCAGCTCAAGCTCTACTGTACCCAATCCTTGAAACTGGCACATTAGTTTGGGGCGCTGGAGAGATACATTCCATCGAAACTGTTTTATACTGGAGAGTCTGGTAGACTTCGGATGCAGTCGGGCGCAGTGCGGGGTCTTTTTGTCGAACTTGCACAGCTCAGCCATAGCCATGAGGGGTACCTGACACTGTTGAAAGATGTACACGTGACGCTCAATGCCGGCTATGAAGGCCTGTTTGTGAAAAAAATAATCCACAAAAATATGAACTGAGTTCTTACCACGAAATGAGCCGATTGTTGTCGCGAGAAGTCAGGGTTTCATCCAACTTGACAACTTCACACCGGATTTGGTAAAATATCCCTTGAAGTAGAAACTGTGCTAGATTCTGGTAGAATCTAGAACCAAATCAACCTATGGAGATTTGCCCAAAGTATACATTTTTGAAACTGAGAATGATTTTAGTCAAATATATACTAGTTTTAGGCAGTCTGAGATGAAAACTATCTATGGGACTGAAACTATGCCTGAAATGGTTGATATCTGTGCACATATATTTGGTCATAATATCACGCACATCAAATGTGGCGAAACTGACAGTGAAACAAAGGATTTCACTGACAGTTTCAGCACAGATGATACAAAGGAAATCAGCAGTGGAGAAATGCACATAGATTCTCTTTGTTTCTATTTACATTTCTCCACTGCTGAAACTGTAGATTTACAGTACAATGAAATCATTGTTGAAATCTCAAATTTATTCATGCCAGAAATTGTGATTAAAACTGTCAGTATATACATTGGAGAAATTGTAAGAGATATTGTATGTATATCAGTGACTTGAGGGTCAACCCTCAAGTTAACCCTCAAGTCAACCCCAAGGGTCTGATCTCCGGGTAGACCCTACAAGTTCAGTCTCCAGCTACATATTTAAATACATAATTAGCATGAATGGGATAACAACTTTGTAATGACTTTACACAAACTTTCTAATAAATGTTACCAGATTGTAGGGACCCTTAATACATGTTACTATTCAGTTTAGACCTATGCTTCAAGGTCAATGGTTGAGTCAGAAAATGCAAATTACTGACCCAACCCTGAGTTTTCAAAACAGTGGTAGGGTCATATCTTAATAAGTTCTTATCCGTTCCTAACATGTTATATATGAGCAGGAAGGTGTTCAATTGGCCTATAAACTGGTATTCAACATAAAGTTCATTGTATACAAAACCACAGACTTTATTACAAAATACATTTTGACTATTAGATTGTTAACCCAATTACTTGATGGTTTCTAGGCTGTTCATCAAAAGTTGGATATGGTCAGAAAGGTATTTCCAAATTCTACAAACTTGATTTCAACCCTGATATGGTTGATTACAAAACCACAGACTTTCACTACAAGTCAAGGTTTATTGAATTGACTTCAAAATCCAAAGTCAACCAAATGACTCCATATTGCACATAGTAGTAGAGCTTCATTGATTGAGTAAGTGTTCAGTTCAAACCTATTCAAAATTTATAATAGTTGACTCACAAAAGGTGAAATACTCCCAAAATATTAGCTTTGTTAGTTTAGGGCTAGCCTGGCTCAAATAGTATTAACACTATATTGTTGTGAATTTCCCCTTCCTGTTCACTGCTTACCACTTGTATGATAGAGCACAGGTACAGGTCTGGGTCTGTTTAACTTGACTCAGACCCTGACCCTAACCCTGACCCTGACTTTGACCCTGACTGTCAGGGTTCAGGTTGGGCTATGCAAGACTCCTCTTGAGGAACAAGTGCCCGGAACAGAATAGATGAATTGTCAGGCCCACAAGTATGGCGGGCAGGTTCAAATCGAACTAAAAGGGCCTGTTAAAGTGGGTGTTAGTATCAGGGTCAGGTCAGGTCAACAAGGCCCAATGAGTCGGTGTTGACTCAGTGATGTCTCCTTGCATAGGGTGAGGTAGTATAATAGGTGATCTAAGCGATAAAGTACAGTGTATACTATTATACCTTATATATGCTCTGCTGAGGGGTGATCAGACACCCTTGGCCTCTCCTGCTCCTTCCTATATCCCTGTCTCTGGCTGCGGAGAAGATAATTGCACATCCCTTGCAGGCCAGGCACTACTCCTAACATCCTAGCACTCCTTCCTGTTCCTTCATGCTGCAAGTTGGGCTCAGCGCAGGCCCAACACATCTTTCCTGATTATGTGCTTCCCACATATACATTTCCCTCTACTGTGGTGTCTGTTCCTGTCATCACATCCTGTGTGTTATGGGCCCTTGGTGGCCTGATACCAGTGCCAGAGAGGACAGGCCAGGTCTTATCTGTGACACTGATCCTACCTAACCCTGACCCTACTGGGTAAGGTTGACTTGATCTAGGTTAACCCTCATGTCATATTTGATACAATTCAAAAAGCTCAAACAATCATTATTATATACTACAATTAGTATTTATGAGCCTTCTTGTGTTCCATCCTGGTCCTCTTTATTGTCCACATTTTACTCTTTTCTAGAAAGCATGAGTGGGGGGTTGAAGTGGCAGGGTTTCATGTTAGAATGCACAAAGGAACTGAGAGAGGTATATACTAACCTCATTCATCATATGCATATCTATATGTACAAGATGAGGGTAGAGTACAAGTCAGGTAGGGTTTGTTATAATCAGAGTCAGGGTCAGGGTATACTAACCCTGACTCTGACCCTGAGACCCTGACCCATGCTCTACCCCACCAACTTCTGAACCTGGCTGTTCAACTCCAGATTTGACCCGCAGGTCCAGACGGATCCTAGGGCTGAGCTGGTGGCAAGAGTAGCTATCATTGATGTTTGGTAGAGAGGTGTTACACAAGGGTTACAGGCATATGCTCATTGAGTCATTTGCCAGTGGTGCTCCACTCAGCTCCACATTACCTTTTTTGGGTAACAGCAGAAATAAGGAAAGTCAAGACTGCCCTGACCCTGACCCTGATCCTACTTAAACCTGACTCCATTAGGGAAGGTTGACTTGATTTCTCTCTATACAAGAAGGCATTAATGACTCACTAGGCTCTAACGACTCAACTTGACTCAGCATCTGTTCTGTTCCAGGTCCATGTTTCATAGAAAAAACTTGCATGGCCTGATTGATCTAAAGCCTGATGTATCCTTTGCTTTCCCACCACCTACCCTCTGTCTGTTGAAGTGTAACTGATATTCACATGTGTTACAAATAAAAGTTATGGTTTTTGACTATACAAACAACTTGCCCAATATCAAGCTTCAGGCAAGGGGATGCCAGAAAGAAAATAAAGGAACATACTGTTGTATTTTAAATACTCAGTTCACATGTCATGCATCACACCACCACATGTCACACATCACACCACCAATTTTATACAATTTTTTTTGGCATGTCACATAGATTTAAGCAAAGACACATCCCAAAAGGGTAATTTTGACATTTCCTAGCACCTTCAGCACCCAGAGTTACTTAATTAGGATCTTAAGAGAAGAAACTCTAAGGGTCTACCTGCTAGGGCGCCAACTATATACTGGTTGTCTGTGACTGCTGACATAGAGTGCAGAAGGCCTGAGCAGTGTCACAGGCTCTGTCCCAAGGTGATCCTTGAGAGGGTCTTGACAGATTGGTGATTGTGTGGGTGAAGGAGGCCGTGGACAATGGTTGGGATAGGTTGGAGTGTCCAAGGGGGTGCTGGTCAGATACACCTCAGATGTGCTTGGACAGTCCGAGGGAGGTGTAAGGGCAACCCCAGAGGCCTGAGATTAAGGTTCTAGCAGGGGAGGATCCGAAGAGAAGAAACTCTAAGGGTCCGCCTGCTAGGTAGGCTGACTATATACTGCCCGCTGTTGGGCACAGAAGATCTGGGCGGCGTCGCAGGCAAGGTCCCAGGGTAACTGTCAGGAGGGCGTTGACAGATCTGTGATTGTGTGGGTGAGATGGAGGGCCAGACCAGAATCGGAACCAGAATTGGAATTGTCTCCAAGGGGCCGAAAGGGAGGTTCCTCTGACAGAGGCCGAAGGGGAGTTCCCCTGACAGGTTAGAGACAAAGTTGGACTAGAGATGTAGACGTCTCTAAGGGCCAGAACAGGAGGTTCTCCTAACAGCAATACTGTGAAATCTGTGCAGAGGCACTAACACATAATTCAACTAGGCCAAAAGACCACTGTGACCAGATACTGGTCATATGCACTACCACTATATATAGCTGGTACATACATTTGCATACATGCAACAAATACATGGTAGGCAGTAGCTGTTAGGAGAACCTCCCTCCCTCCCAGAGACGATTCTGGTCCGATTCCATTTCCAGTCTGACCCCCGCTCAAGCCCGCGCCATTACGAATCCGTCAACACCATCCTGACGGTCACCCTGGGACCTGGCTTGCAATGCCACTCAAGCCTTCTGTCCCCAACAGTGGCAGCTATGGACAAGCAGTTGTGATGGAATCTATTTATATTGGAGCCTTGATGTACTTAAATATTTCCTTTTTGAGAAAAAGTGCTTATTTATTGTTTGTATCACTTTGATCACATCATTGATCATATCAATTTTCTGAAATGCATTGAACATGCTGTGATCAAAGTGTTATTGACTCTGCAATCCAGAACAATAAGTCTTTTTGTGATTCATTCTAACTTCTAACTTAGAATGACTCACCATAGTTGTTTCTGACTATGCATCAACTGTGCATGACTGTGCATACTGTGCATTAACTGTGCATTGACTGTGCAAACTGTGCATTTGACTGTGCATGCAGGAACAATAGAGTTTAGTAATAAACTCTTGACTTGGAATGACTCATTTCAATTATTCTTGACTGTGCAATTCAGAACAATTGAATAAACAATTCAAACTTTGGAGAGTCATACTGACTCATGATGACTCAGCATGACTCTGCCCAAAGGTATCAATACAGCTCACTTCCCTAGTAGTTAGATATCCTCTTTTTGTATCATATACTACCTGAATTGACACTGTCATTCACTATACCTTACTCTGTGGTTGTTACAGAAGCCTTAATCCAAGGTTATACGGAGATCCCCTTACTCTGTGGGTATACAGAAGCCTTTATCCAAGGTTATACGGAGAACCCTTTACTCTGTAGGTTAACAGAAGCCTTGCTCTAAGGTTATACGGAGGAGCCTGGACTCTGGGGTTAAACAGAGGCCTTACCCTGAGGTTATACGGAGAAAGCCTTGAATCTGAGGTTATACCAAGATTACCATTTCTATTTTCTTTTCACAGTAGCTTTACTGTTTTTGTTATCTCATCTTCTCCTATTCTAAGAGAAGACTTAATCAACTGACTTGGAGTATTGTTTGATATTTGGGTGTCATCGCACAAACTGAACTGAACTGAACCCCAAACACATTATCAATTGGTAACGCCAAATCGTACACTCTACACTACATCTATCAATTATCAATTATCTCTGACTACGCATTTCACTATGGGGGGGGCGCTCATTTCATGGTGAGAACACGGTTTATATTCATGATTTATTTGTTTTACAAATGGGCCTTCATAGCTGGTGACATTTGCTACTTTCCATGACCACATGGTAGTCCCATGACTTCTGCCAACCTCCTCTGGGCCGAGGAATGGGCGAGTATAGTTTGACAACTTGGATTCGAGTCTGGTAGCACTCTAAGTTGGAATGCTGTGCCTCCCTCAATACGATGGAAGAGGACAACGGCTGATGTAACAGGAAGAGTATTCATTTAGTGCGCAATGGTCCAGTGTTTTGCTTTTCAATGCTGACCTATCCAAATACTCCAGAAGATCCCGATATTGCCTGCAGCGAAAAGTGACTCTGGGCTCAGGCTGTTTCTATAACTTGGGCCCAATGGGTCACTGGTCGGTCTATTGCCCCACCACAAACACGTTGCTCTCAAATGCCGCCAGCCCCAAATGACAAGGCTTGTATCCCCTATGAGACGTTTCTGTGTTTTGACAACATCTAGGAAGGTTACACAATGGCCAAAAGCTGTTCGTGGACAATGCTGGCTTCACCCCACCTGCCTCATCACCTCCTCAATCCTGCTCATGAAAATAAATCTTGACAAATGCACAAACTTCACGAGTTTGGGCGCTACCAACTACTGCTTGATCTCCTGGGCTCCAATACTCCTTGAGACTCTCCCTGGCTCTGGCATAAGTTATTCAGCAGGGAAACCAACGACAATCATGATTGTGCAAAAGCAACCAGGACTTTCAACCACTAGATCAGCTATATCTCCGACTCAGAGCGTAAAGGAGGGAAAGTCAAGCAGGAGGAACAGTGGCAGCCATTGAAAGCCTGCCAGCACTGGACAAAAAATCTGAAGAAATGTGCAACACTTGGAACTGTCGGTGAACAAAGCCACCAGATGTCTCGAGGCAGCAGATACGGGCCGGGAGCACCCCTGGCTGATCTCGAGATGGAAATGGCGAGGACAGACTATCAACAAGTCCCAAAGCGCTCATCAGTCAGTGTCACAATCACGTGGAAGTGACTGGGCGCGTAGAAAAAAAATTCTGACGTGTTCCCTGAACCAGCTGCATACAGCTACCTCGGATCGGCATATGACCTCTTTGCGCTTCGACAGCACTCTCATGCTCTCGACTCCTCTTTGATCTTCCATCGTCTACCCGACTCTCCAAGTTCTGTTGCCGGCACTGTCTCAATAAAGGCTTCTTTTGGGGGAGCCATGGGACTCGATCCGCCCGCGTCTCGTCTCCAACAAATCGACACTCTGAATCCGTGTCGGGGATCAATTCGACCAAGCCGATACGCTCTGACGAAACTTTTCGGACACTCCTCATACCGCACGGGGAAGGGGATCGCTATTTTAGCCGATGATGGTGGACGAATGGCGGGTTTTGCCAGTGGACTGGTTCAGGGCGACTGCCGAAGAGCTGAACGAAGAGGGCTTGGTTTTAACAAACGTTAACGTTTACCTGGAGCGACGTTAAGCGCTCCGCCAGACTTGGAAGCGATGGTGTTTGAAGCCGCGATGGCGGGACCATACAACGAGGGACTGCGCGTGTAACCTCAAATACTGCACTGCAGCCAATTTAGCACAATCTACAATTCAACCATACCTGCCGCTGACGATATGTACGCTGATCTTCAAGGGCTTCGGGACGCAAATCGGAACCGAGCTTTGAGTCGAATTAGAGGATTTGCAGTACTATGAGGTGCTAAATGCGAAACCTTGGATTTTCAGACCGAAACGACAGGAGATATATTGAAACAAGGTTACAATGAGTGACACTTATGAATACAGGACGGGGAACATCTTTTGGAGCTTCTATGGTATAACGGGGTATCGAGTGGTATTTGATGCAAATGCGATGCAAAGAGAGTGTGTGGATATCAGGACGATTTTTATGACATTTTCACCATGCGTTGGTGTTGGCGGTGGGGTGAGCATAAGCCCACGTGTGGTCGTGCGGCGTGAAATTTTCGAATGCTGGTGTATGGTGGAAGCCAGAACTGGGCATCGGCTGCGTTGGCGTCGGGGAGCCGGATGTTTGTCGGGCCGGAGAGGCCGACTGGGAGGCCCCAGCGCTGCCGTCTGCGTAGGGATGACTGAGGAGAAGAGGGCCTTCGCACGTGGCCTCGCTGGGGACACCGCCGCTGCGGTGTCGGCGCTGCCGGGCCGAATAGACGGCGCCCACAAACTCAAGACCCTCCTCGCCCTCCTCCTCGAGGCCAAAGTCGAGGTCAAGCGGGTCGAAGGGGGGCTCCTCGCCGCTGAGCACAACATGGAACGCTTCGTCGCGCACAGGCACGGTCGCTGGCCGCATTCCCGCACGTGCCCGCCACCCGTTGACCTCCCGCCTCAGCCCGTCGCACTCCGAATTGAGTGCACGCAGCTGGGCAGAGGCAAGCGCGCGATACCGACGGGCTGCACGCACGTGAGCGATCGAGGAGTTGACGATTGCGGACTTGGACGGCCGACGGAGGTGTTTTAAATTCGGAAGCAGCCCCGCAAGGTCGAGGAATCGCCCGTTCAGAGTCTCCCTTCGTGCCCGCTCAACAGCATTGTGAGATGCGCGACGCTCGGCGGTCGTTGGTTTGAGAGGCGTAGGCGTAGGTGCGGGCGAAAGCTTCGTCGTTGCAAAAGCGGCGCCATCGGCGAACTCGGGTAACAGGGATGGGACCGCCAGCATGGCGTTCGGGTGCTGCTGCTGTTGCCGTTGGAGCTGACCGAGATGGAACTCGGGTGTGTTCGGCGTCTGTGGTGGCCCCGAGGAGTGCGACGAGGAGGAGGATGTCGGCGAAGGCGGCATTTGGAAAATGGTGTTGTCGTAGTAGGGCATTGCGTTGTGGTGTGTTAAAATGTGTTGATAAGATAATAGTTGTTCGAATGTAGTTAATGAGAGTAGAGAAGGACGAATGCGAGCGAGCGAAGTGGTGGGGTCAAGGTAGAGTGAGGATACGCAGATACCGCATGTCTTTATAGCGACTGTTGGGTGGTGACCGTGATCAACCGCATCGCCACGGCCGTGATCGTCACTGTCACTGTCGCCCGTCTCCGTCGGCATTGCCCTGTCGTCATCGTCACGGTTCCTCCACAACGGTCGTGACGGGACGCGCAAAAGAAGGATTGCCAGCGCTGCATTGTCGCCAAGGCTTGAGTACCAGTAAAGGCTTCTTTGTGATTCTACAGAGTCATTTTCTTTCCCATTTCCCTTCTCCTCGAGAACATAACGATCAAATGAACAGCTTTGCAGAGTCTGCACTTCAAGTTGAAGTTCCCGGCCCACAAGTTCTCCGCGTGTCTTGTAAATTTGGAAGGCTGTTGGGGCCTGGGATCCGCTGGAGATCTTCACTCACGACATAATTTTAATGTGCGAATGCGGGGATGGGAACTTGTATAGGTGATCCCGTCGAACATCTCCAGTTGAAGCTCATGTGCTTGGATGAATCAAAATGAATCAGCGAGGACTTGACGAAGAGAAGCGCGCGAATGATCACAGTAAAAGCAGCGACCGCCGATGCCAATGTGCAGCGCTGCTGGTTTCAACGGCTGCCCTGCCCTTATCCCTCCGGGAGCACGAAAGCCGGGTGTGTTTATAGCGCTGCGCGGCAATCCAAACATGAACTTGGTCATGTCATGGTTGACGCAGGTGGATGTGAAACACAACTTGTTTCTCACAGCCATCCCTCGGGAGATCCTCTGTCGGCATACAAATCTCCGGTGAGGCTTCGATCCGTCGATCATATCAGTCGAGTCGCCGTCGTTATCTTGGCCGATGATCATGATTATCTGTATCATTATCTTGACGCTGCGATGGAGATCGGCAACCATCCTGTGCTTGTGAGCTACTTTCCAGTCATACTACTTACAGAGAGCGATAAGCAAGGACAGCAAAACACAGCAGGGGATCAGACCGGAGTACATACTTGATGGTGCCATCAAAATCATGATTATCTATCAATTTTGATGCGTAACAGGAGAAATTATCGTCCGACTTATTGGAATATTACTGTATCAGTCAGAGTGAAAGGGAGATGCATTATAGACTGGGATCCCTCTTGCAAATACCAAAGCGAATAATTTATCCTCAAGAAAATCTACACATCCAGTCTTCCTTTCTCTCGCCTCCTCAGTTCTTGCCGCCTCCATTTCCGCCATGCAACTCCGCCCACATCGACAGCGTACAATGCGACCCAACAGCCCGCAACTAACAGCCCCTCAAGAAGAATGATGCCGAAAAAACCCATCCGCCAGCGGTAGAGGGTGCCGAGGTGGATGACATATTTTACAACAGTCTTGCTAGAGAGCTTTGACGCGCCGACTGTGCGTTTTGCGAAAGCGTAGGGCACCTCTCTTACATGTGAGGAAGGAACACCCGTCTTGAGAAGGAGTTCGAGCGCGATCTTGAAGCCTGTGGGGTTGACTGGTGAGGATTGCATATACTAATTGTGCTTTTTGAGTCAAAATACAAGATTCTGGATCAAGAAAAACGCACCAACTCTCTGGTCAGGCCAAAGAAACCAGACATCGGGTCAGAGGTGTCGGTCAAGGGGCGCGCCAGACTGCGTGCGACGCCGCTCATCAGTCTGCGAAAGAAGGGCCAGTCCTTGTCAACCGCACCGCCGGGGCCGTAACGCGTGCCCATAACGAACGACGCGTGTGATTCAAGAGCCTTGAAAAATGCGGGCACGTATTCGGGTGGGTGTTGGAGGTCGGCTGGGAGGACTTATTGGTTGGAAGAACAGAAGAGGCAGCACACACACACCATCCATAACCACAAAGTTCTCCCCGCGGGCCTCTTTGAACCCCCGAAGAACAGCGCTTGACAGTCCTTTCTCATCATTGCCCGACTTCCAGTCCTCCTCCGTCCGCACCAGAAGCACGACGTTCCTGTAACCCTCTTCCTTCAGCATCCCCACCGCCTCCACCGTCCCATCTCTCGAATCATCATCCACAACGATCACCTCAGTCCGTCCAGCATCCGCGAGTTCCTTTTCAATCGCACTGAACACCCGCCTCACCAGCGTCGGGATATTCCCCGCCTCGTGATACGCCGGCACGATCACCGTATTCTCGATCCCCTCGTGTGTCTTGTGGTCTGCGTCAGAATGGTCTCTGACACTTGGCGCCCGCGTCGCAGGCGACGAAGTCAGCAGCAGAAAGAGAAAGAACGGCAGCAAGGAGAGAAGTGCAGCGCTCTTCAGCCGCTGATTAGTCTTCGTGCGCGGTTCGCGTAGCATATTGCGAAGGACGACGTGGCCGGCAGTCGTGTCTTGACTTGAAGTTTTTGTGTCTGTGACAGTCGTGACAGCGGATCAATGCTGACTCATAGCATTATGATTTCCTCCCGACGACCGTCGACAACAGCCGTTTTTATTTCTACAGAGGACTTATCAGCACATAGGCTTTCTCGAGATATCGCGCCGAATTGTTTTCAGATCGATTTTCAAAGCACCAACGGTGTCGTTGTCATCTAGCTATTCGAATTTCGATGAAGGAGACGCTGAAGAGCGCTGAAGATGGGAGCAGCTCCGGAGCATCCTTCGGCCGCTTTTCTGTTTTCAGGGCCGAAGCTGAGGACACCTCCTGCACTAAACTAGTCTTCCTGCCGGTGTTCAGTTGCTTGTAAGCCCTTTTTGGTTAACAGCAATAACAGGTTCAACGGCTGACCTTGTGCGTAGGCATCATGATCATCTCGCGCTCCTCTTCGCGGGATAGCAAATCGTACTAGTTCTTCGCACTGGGGTTTTCATTGGAAGGAAAAGAGTCAGATCAGTGTCGTTGATCTTGAGGCTGGCAATTCTGGCTTACTAGTAGCGGCAATCCTGTCCTTTCCACTCAACTGAGGCAGTCGCAACGCAAATCTCGGTACGCGTGGTTGCTCTCACTTGTACTTTAGCTCATCACTTCCAGTGCAACCAGTAATCCGTGAATTCCGAGTTCAAGGCTGATTCTTGAAGCGGCGTTGAATGTTGACTCGGAGAAAGTTCCAGTTAACTGCACATTTCGTGTTGTTGTGTATCCGGGCCTGGCATCTTTCCCTTTTTCTTCGCACGCACGAGTTATTCGATGAGTAAGGTCAGATGAGCAGTCTTGCCCATGTCGACTATCCCGCCTGAAATTCTCGAGCAGATACTACAATTCTGCGAAGGCCGAACACTGGCACTTTGCTCGACGTCATTACTACTAGGAGTAGTGGTCCACCCCTCTTTGACACCACTCAACGACAACTCATCTCTGAATCGATGTCGGTCTCCAGAGGCTCTATTTTAGCACAGTGTGATGCCAGACCTGGACGGGTGGTAAGTACTTTCCCTCAATCTCTCTCTGTGAATGATGATAGATGGCGGCAGCTCCTCTTGGCCGCCGTGGATCTGCAAAGACCTGGCGGGGAGGAGATTTGCGAGTCATATTCAGCACCTACTAGTACTGTACTATGCTGCAAATCCGCCTGAGGCGTCTTGTTAATTCAACCCAAAGCTCGGTTCCAATTTGCGTCCCATCATCAGCGTAGCTGGTATATATGTTTGTATTGTAGATTGTGCTAAATTGGCGGCAGTGCAGTACTTGGCGCGTTCCCTCGTTGTATGGTCCCACCATTACTGCTTTAAACACTACCGCTTCCGAATCTGGCGGATCGCTTAACGTCGCTCCAGGTAAACCGTAAACGTTAAACATTTGTTAAAACCAAGCCTTCTTCGTTCAGCTCTACGAGAGTCGCCCTGAACCAGTCCACTGGCAAAACCCGCCATTCTTCCGGCATCGTCGGCTAAAATAGCGATCCCCCTCCCCCGTGCGGTACTCAGTGCCCGGAAAGTAACAAGTTTACCACAGCGATATTGATGACGACGGTCGACTTGACCCGAAGCAGATTCAAAGTGTCCATTTTTTGGAGACGAGAGGCGGGCGGATCGAGTCCCAGGGATCCCCCAAAAGAAGTCGTTATTGAGAGAGTGCCGGCAACAGAACTGGGAGAGTGGGTAGATGGAAGGTTTCATCCATCAAAGAGGAGTCGAGACCATGAGATTGCTATAGAAGCGCAAAGAGGTCTCCGAGGTAGCTGGTTCAGAGCGTGGAGGGAAAAATTTCTACGCGCCCAGTCACTTCCACGTGATTGTGACACAGAGCGCTTTGGTTGATAGTTAGTCTTCCTCGCCAAATCCATCCTCGAGATAAACCAGGGCTGCTCCCGGCCCGTATGCGCCGCCTCGACCGGGACATCTGGCGACTTCGTTCACCGACAGTTCCGAGTGTTGCCCGTTTCTTCAGATTTTTTGTCCAGTGCTGCCAGGCTTTCAATGGCTGCCACTGTTCGTCCTGCTCGACTTCCCCCCTTACGCCCTGAGTCGGAGATATAGCTGTGATCATCGGAGACCAGTTCGTCGTCGATGAATGCAGCAGCTGGGATTTGGATGATCCAGCGAAACTTGGAAGTCCTGGCCCCTTCCGCACAATTGTCGTTAGTTTCCCTACTGGAGAGCTCACGCCACGAGTATTGTGAGTCGAGGAGATCAAGCAGTAGTTGGTGGCGCCCTAACTCATGAAGTTTGTGTGTTTGTCGAGACCTATTTTCGCGAGCAAGATTGAGGAGGTGACGAGGCGGGCTCCTCAATCGGGTGGGACGAAGGCAGCGCTGTCCGGCCGGAAAAAAATGTATCTGAACTTTTGGTCGTTGTGTAACCTTCCCAGATGTCGTCAAAACGCAGAAACGTCTCATGGGGATACAAGCCTCAGGCTGGTCATTTGGGGCTGGTGTCATTGAAGGGCAGCGTGTTTGTGGTGGGGCAATAGACCGACCCGGCGGACCGGCAACCCATTGGGCCCATGTCAAACAACCAGCCTGAGCCCGCTGCAGGCAATGCTCCGACATCGGGACCTTCTGGAGTAGTTGGATAGGTCAGCATTGAAAAGCGAATCACTGGACCATTGCGCACCAAATGAGTTCAGATACTCTTCCCGTTACATCAGCCGTCGTCCTCTTCCATCGTCTTGGGGCGGAGCATTCAACTTAGAGCGCTACCAGACTCGGATCGTCAAACTACGCTCGCGCAAGGCAGCACTGGCAACACCGGCCCATCCTTCGGCCCAGAGGAGGTTGGCAGGGGTCGCGGGACTACCATGTGGTCGTGGAAAGTAGCAAAGATGATGTGTCGGCGGCATTGAGCGTCACGTGCACATCTTCTTTCTCCAAAACCGCAATGACACGCAAGCGAACATCGCGATATTGTATGCTGCGTCTCTCACTGGCACGCGTAGTCCAGCATATTCAATAAGGTCTGAAAGTGCGTACCTTGCATATTGTGAACTGCTCGTTTCTCCAACTCCCTGGTGCAGAGCTCACTGTCGAAGGCCTCCAGTTGCTTCAAGTTCACCTCAAGCGAAACACGCATATTCAAGTTGCCACGCATAGCACGAGCTGTAGCTGTTATACCGTGCTAAGAGCGGTAGACCTTCTATGCGGAGATCCAACAAGTCTTGCCAACAGCACCTCGGTAATAGTGCCTTGACGGTGACGACAGAACTTCATTCGCGGGCAGCCGAAACCTGAATCGCATTGCCTATGATCGCCTCGCCCAACCCCTCCGAATCGGCATCCGTGCCTGTTCCCCTTCAAATCAGTTCTGGTCCAACACCGGGAATCTCAAGGCCCGATTCACGCATGTCTAATGTCTTATACCGCAACCTCCTCGTCCTTATTGCGGCCCTCGGACAAGCCGCACTCGTGCCGAGGATGATGTTGGAAACTTGGAGTCCCCAGTTGCCGAGAATTTAGGACCCATATTCCGCATTGCACGACAGAGAGGGAGAATCAACGGGAAAGGAAATGGGAATATGGTTGCGCAATTTCTGGCAGGCGCCGAGTCGTGTGTGTGGCCTTTTATGCACCTTAGACGTCCTAGCACCTTCCAACGACAGATCTCTTGACATTGGAAAACCACCCACGCATCGTGTAGCTTGGCGTGTGCTTTTGCAATTTGCTCAAGTCCGTAAACAACCAACGAAAAAGACGTCAGCATAATAACGACTTCCCCCCAGGGCAATTCCCGACCGCTGTAACGAGACATTTCGACAGAAACTTCGAAGAACAACGCAGTATCACTCCTGCATTCGGATCATCCGGCTTCTCATTCTGCGATCTTATCTATGCAGTTTTCCATCACCAAGTGCGCATCGCATGCTGTGAATCTCGCGACGAAGACTGACGAGGATCGCATCGGCGCGGGAGACGCTGCTTGGTGCAACCGATATCAAGACAGGTCGAGTAAGCGCAAGCCCAACTGCTCTGGAGTCCTGCGCAAAATTCACAGGCGTTGGCTATAAAATGCAGTGGGCAATGGTGAGGCGGGTCAGGCCACTATTCCTTTCTCGTCTTTCCTTCCCGGACTCCTCTGCCTGACCCGGTGTCTGCGCTTTTCTTCCCTCCACACTATGGTCGCCATACTCTCCCTCTTCTTATTTTCTGCCCCAATTTTCGCTAGTGAGGCTCCGCTTCCTTGGTGAAGCGTGCCCTGATCATATCGACATCAGTGCCGTTGCACAACCGCGCTGCGAGCCCCATCGCTTGTACTGACAAGAATGCGACGGAGCAGCTCGGATCGTTCCTCAGCCTGACACAACAAAAGCTCAACGAGCTCAACCCCTTGCATGTCTTTCTCCGTTAGAAATATTTCCCAGCTGACATCTTCCCCAGTCAAGGCATCGCGGACCCGGCCCCCGTCTTCGCCGCCCAGCTGGGCCTGCTCCCGCCGGTCGCGATCTCGAGCCAGCTCGGCAGCCTCGCGCTCTTCCCGACCCTCCCGCCGACGAACCCGCCGGCCGCAACGGCCCTGGACGACCTCGCGCAGGGCCTGGCTGCGGTACAGAAGCTCGTCGCGAACATCACCGTGTGAGTTCGCGGTGCCAACATCATACTTGCAGGCTGACCACGACGATGCCGTAGCGCACCACCGGCGCTGAACACGACCCTGGCGAACAACACCGCGGCCCTCGCCGCCGCGACGAAATTTCTCGGAAGTGCGATCAACGTGTCGAAGAACCTGGGATGCTCGGTCACTAATTAAGAAATGAGGTGTTTCTTTCTATGTGTGCCAAATACTTTGTGGCCCGACCTGGTGTCGAACATACTCACGTCCAAGTTCTGTCTGCACTTGAGAGAGATAATATAACAAAAATATAGTACATCTAAGAACACACCAAATCGCACATTCACTACCCACTACCCCTGAGAGTAGGGCTGAGTGTAGCTGTAGCCGTCATATCCACTGTAAGTATACTCGCTCCCGTCATGACCTCCTTCGGCATTGTGATCTGGAACATGTTGCTGCGAGTGGTGTGACGATGATAAGCTGAGATTGGGGTAGTTCGAGCCGGCATATCGGGGCAGCGCATACGTTGGCGGGGGCATCGTATATGGCAAAGGGTGGCTGTTCGATGATGACGCGGCCTGTGTCGCGAAACCAAGCGGCGCTTGGTTGTTGGGCACAATATAGTCTGGTAGTCGCTGGCTGTGCTGTTGCGCATGATCGTGTGCGGCGCCTGAGTTGAGGTACTCGGGCACGGTCACGTAGTCACACGCGAGGCCCTTCTCTGCGCACCGTTTACACGGCGAGCCCTCGGACGAGACTATGCACTATGGATAAGAGTTAGCAATGAACGCAAGACCAAAATCGTAAACACCAACCCGCGACTTTCGCCGGCGACAATTGACACACGCGATCGGTGTGCGCGTGCGCGTGGGCTTGCCGGGTCCTGCCAGTGTGGGGGGTGGTCGAGACTGAGTGGACATAATGCTTGGACTTGGAGAGTACACAAAAGCGAGAGGGTTATATAGCCTCTCATGCCGATTTGAATGAATGACTGAGCAGTCGGGAGTCTGCGTCGGGGAGAAGGGGTATGCGTTTGTTATGGCGCGCGCAGAGAGCCAGTCAGGGTGACATGCCGCCCAGGACCAGTCGTGGCCGATACACGCACATGCGCGTGCAGCGAAGTGGTCATCCAAAGTCGCAAGAAGTTCAGGCTGTGGACAAAATGGCTACTAACCCCAGTGTCAGTGTTGAGTTGTACATGAATCTCTTCTATTGGATTGCTGGGATGAACTGGAAGCTGCAGGATAGAAGACGTCGAGGACAGCAGAGAGGTCGGTGATCGCCAGGCATCAGAAGATTCGCGCGCCACAGTTCCACAGCACTTTGTGAGTGTGAAACACCCGTTGCGCACCGGCGCCGTTTGGTTTAAGAGAGGGTATTAAGTGTTAAAGTGGTCGAACAGGACGTCAGCGTCAAGGTGAGTCCAGCGATTGATGGTCACGGCCGAAATAATCATTTTGATCCAGACAAGTTGTCATCCACCACTTGTCTTGTCCATCCTCAGTCGACGCTTCGAGAATGGTGCATTACAAGTACATGAATGCCCCTGCTTGTTCATCTCCTCCAAGAGACAAGCGAAAACCCCGGCTCGACAAGTTTCGTCGCGGTCGTGCGCGTTCGGAGAGCTCCAGAAAAAGCTAAGTATCCGACCAGCACCATCCGGGTGCATTGACGAGCATTGGCTGGCCGGCGCGCGACACGCCCCCCAGCAGCCCGCTGGCGCGCTCGACAACCACTTCCCTTCCGCGTATCTCGGAGTTGGTAGAGGCGGCTCCGGACACCCCCGCTACGCCGCGTCGGGTTAAATGCTCTAACCAGTGGTCCAGTGCCGCGATCCAAACAACCCCAACCCCTCCTTCTCAAGTCGAGATGGGGCGGGGAACGACGTGCGTTTCCTCCCAGTGCATTCGCTTGTTGCGCCAACACCTTTCTTAGTTCTCGCTCACCACGAACACATCATCAACATCCTCCACAATCGCAACCTCCATCTGCGAACATCTTCCTTCCTAACCCAATGACTCTTCGATGCCAGGCCTGCCGAAGAAGGAGGAGCGACTACCATTATCCGTTATAACTTTCGTGTCGTTCCCTGTGGCGAGGACTACACTGGACCCTCCCGTGCCGATGCCCCACCGTCGGCAGGCGTGCCTCTCGTCGTGGTCGACGACGAGAGCGACGAAATCCGAGTCAATCCAGGCATGTAGCTGGCTTCCTCCCTGCTATCTGGTGCTTCTGTGAGCTCGCTGGTTATTCGCCAATTCTTTAGATTTCGCGGGTCTCTGCCGACAGCCGCAGAGCCTGCCCGCGGCATTGCTGCCGACAACTTGCATAGGACCGATCTCGCCCTTCTCCTGCCAGCAATTTTTGTGCGGATGCAAACTTCCCCGCCCGTCTTACGGGTCCGTTGCCCCCTCCGCGTCGCTGGAGCTGGTGCGCCAGGCGTGGTCTTGAGGGGGCTGCAAGACGATGGTTTGCATGATCAGGTGGACCTGTTTCAATCTGGGTTTGGTCCTTGCTCAGCACGATTTACCTGCCGGAAGCTTGCTGCAATATCGACGGAGATACATATGGGCGGGACTTCAGAATGAGAACTTCGCGTACTTCAGCAGATGATTCGAGTCAATAGAATTAAAAATTAGATCTGACAAGATTTGTGACAAAGAGAAGGATGATTGAGGAGCCACCCTGCAACTACTAGTAGTAGGAGACAAGTCGTTAGGTATGTGGTGGCTCGGCGCCGATGAGTGGGACTAGGTAGGCAAGAGGGAGAGCCCGAGTATAAAGAGGCACAGTAGGGTAGACATAGCGTAGTGGCGGGCGTTTGAACTTTGAAGCCTTCCTGAAGGACGACGAACGGGACGTGTGTCCTTGTGATCGTCAGCGTAGCGGTCCACGACATGACCATGATCACCGTCAAGTCTTCATTCAACCAAACCCTCATTTCCCCGCTCCGCGCAGTTCTTATGCAGGGTGGATCCGCAAGTGATCATCCAGCGGGCGAACACAACCCCACTCCACATTCAAACGATGGGTGACCTGGCTCCATTGTGCAGTCCCAGGGGCATTGCTTGCTTTGCACCACTCCTTGCCGGATTCGAAGTCACCAGGAAGACACACAGAGATTAGTGCTGGTAGTTTAAGGGATAGATCCTCTACTCCTTGCCGAAGGTGTTGGACAACGGCAGCAGAGGCCTTCCAGTTTTGATTTGCGTTCTGACTGTCTGAGAGTGATCGTTCTGCGTTTTTAGAGAGCCGAAGTTCGCAAACTCGTCGAGACATAGGAAATCGATGGAGGCGGAGGGTTGTTAACTGATGCAGCCTCGGGAGACAGGTGTCTCGAAGATAAACCCAGGATCTCTATTTGTGGTTCAGTCGTTACTCTAGGAATCGGCTGGATACGCACCGGTGACAAGTTATCACTGCAGTATATGTATTCCAAGCGCTCTAATGCCGGGAGTTTGAGCGTGACGCGTGTGAGGACATCGTCGTCCCAGACCGCGGTGGCGACAGCGAAAGATTTCATGGACTTTTGGGTCCAGGATAAACGATCAACCAATCGAATGGCGACCCTCGGGGGAATAGGACCCTGCACGGAAACGTGCTCCAGAGTAGATGTCGCAGAAATGAGGTGGTCCAAAACGAACAGTGGGGCCGTCACGGCTTGAAGGTAGGGAAGTGACTGGGTGGGCATGTTAACGCTACACGAAGCACACTTGAAGCCTGAGGGCGGGCGGTAGAGCCGTGGAATGATTATATCTAGTCGCCGAAGATTATGGAGCGAGAACCCATTCAAACAGCTAAAGTAGTGCGATAACCAGGGAGTTACTATTGGCAACCCTCCACCAATGGTCAGATTACTAGGAGCACATTTAGAGTTGGCGATCGATGAGTTGATTGTGACTTCACTGATGAGGAGATTCGGGATTTCGGGAACAAGATGAGTAAAATACGGGGAATATGGCAGTGTTTCAGAAGAGTATGGGGATAGATGCGCCAGTGTCAGGTGAGACAGCCGCAGGGCGGTAGCAGGGGAATTTGGTGGCGGGGGCACGACGCATTGGTTCACGGTAAGACATCGGAGTTGTCGCAAAGAGTACAAGGTGTCGAAGAAAGTGCTGGGAAGAACGATTCCGGAAACAAGCAGCTCCCTTAGAGCTGGCGAAAATGAATGTATACGGGTGAAAATTATGAATGTCATGTCTGTATGAGAGTTTTCAGCAATTCCGTGGTGCCAAACGGGAACGGTGACGCACCGAGTTCTTCAGGAGTGTCAAGAAAACTTGACAGCCCCCAATTGGAGATGTACAGAGGCGGGATGTTGATATGCAACGACTCTACCCTCCGACCTTTCGCAGGGAAGCGCGACCAGTACGACGAAAGATGTTGAGCAGCGGTCTGCACACTCCTATATCGCAAATGGCGAATGAGGAAATCTAAGCTGGCCACATGGAAAGTAAGGGAAAGTACTTGAGACTTGAGAGATAGCAGCAAGAGTCGTCGTCTCTGAATACTCAAAAATGAGCATCCAGACTTCCAAGGGTAGTATGAATGCCATGATGAGCAATGGAGAGGAACACCTAGGAACACTTTGATGATGGATGATGACGAGTGAGGGACGAGTGATCATTAATATCGATCATTTGTCTTCTGAGTTTCTCAAGCTGTGAGCAACAAATGACCAGGAATAGAAAGCTTAACATAACTACAGGCGTTTTGTAGTTTGCTGAGGACGTTATATAGAGAATTGGAAGTTACAGAAGAGGTCGAGGAGAGGGATTGACCAGAAATCAAAATATCTGTGTGCCATAGTTCAGCACATTCTACATTGACACCCGTTGTGCGCCGTTTATGTAGCCGTTGGGGTCAAGAGAGATGGATAACGAGTGGTCGAAGTTCGACCGTCGAACAGGACATCAGCGTCAATTTCAAATGAGGTCACCGTCCCAGGAACTTGTCATCAACCACTTGTTTCCACTCAGTCGACGCTTCGAGAATGGTCCTTTACAAGTATGAATGCCCTTGCTTGGGAATTCAGGCGCTCGAAGAACAGAGCGCGGTACAAAGGTGCTTTGTTCGCGTTGTGAGCTATAAAAGCGCCTGACAGTGGCACAGGTGCTTGGAATTGCCTCGATTATATCAAGCCCCTCTGCGACCATGTCCAATTTTCCTCGTTCGACCTCTCCCAGTCCCTCTCCCTCGCCCCCTTCCACACCAACTTCGTCTCCTCCAAGAGACAAGAGAAAATCACAAATGAGCAGCCCACGGCTCTTCGACAAGTTTCGTCGCGCGCGTTCGGGAGGTCCCCGGCCAACTAGTCCATTGACGGGAAATGGCTGGCCGGCGCGTGACACGGTCCCCAGCAGCCCGCTGGCGCGCTCGACAACCACTTCCCTTCCGCGTATTTCGGAGTTGGTAGAAGAGGCGCCCGTTACGCCGGGTTCTGACGACGACAACACGACTTCGGTAGAGAACCCTATCTACCTTTCGCCCAAGAAAACGTCGCCTGCCACAGCACGCGCATACCTGGCGCTCCTCCATGATATCGACCCTGCGCTCGCAAGAATGGAGAAAATCTCGGTCAACGGGTCGACCACGGTATACCGCGCCCATCATCGCGGGTTAAATGCTCTCGTAGCAGTCAAACTTGTCCAGTGCCTCGATCCAAACAACCCGAACCTCTACTTCTCAAATCGAGACGAGGCAGGGAAAGACGTGCGTTTCCTCCCAGTGCATTAGCTTGTTGCCTCAACACCTTTCTTTAGTTCTCGATCCATCTCTCGCTTCACCATGAACACATCATCGACATCCTCCACATCCACCGTTCAAGTATTACACCTCTCGTCAACATTATCTGCGAATATCTTCCCAACTCCATGACTCTTCGAGAGTACATCACCAGGACTGCTGAAGAGGGAGGAGCGATTGGTATGTGTGCCCCCCAGGTTTTGCCTCGTATTCAACTCTCTCTAGACGATTGGAAAGTCATGACTATAGCCTCGCAAATGGTGGGAGCCCTTGCCTTCATCCACGACCGCGGAATCGTCCACCGTGACCTGAAACCCGAAGTCTGTGCCCAATCGTCCTTCCTCAGCTGTGTTGACTAGTCTTTAGCATATCCTTATCCACGACGAGGAGATGACAGTCGTGAAATTGGCCTGCTTCGGCGACGCAGTCCGCCTGGACAGAAGCGTGCTAACCCAGCTCCCCGCGGTTAGTCCTCTGCTCACGCGCTATTCAATGCTCATTCTCTCAGAGCACGTTTATCGACTTCGATTTCCGATACACTGCGCCGGAAATTCTGGACATCAATCGTCCCGGCTACGACCATCGTGCAGACATCTGGAGTCTCGGGGCGCTTATCTTCGAGCTGTGCGTCACCAACTCATATCCGTAGCTGTCCTGACCTGCCGCAGCTTCGTTCTCGACCTCCCGTATCGCCCGTTCCAGCGCGTGTACCCCGAGCGGACCCCGCCTAAATTCCTGTGGCCGCTGTTGCCGCTCCACCGAGTCCCGAGCGACGGTGCGCGGTGTTTTCGTCATGCTGCTCTACGTATTTGACAAGGCGCAGCACAGGACTTTTTGAGCCACCTGCTCCGCCGCGACCCGTCACTTCGACCATCGTTGACAGATGCCACCCAATTGCACCCCTGGTTTGCGCGACCAAGACTGCCAATCGTGTTTCGAGACACGGACTTGTGAGTAGAGGAGGTCATGTATGTTTGCTATCGACAATACACCTTTTAATCTGTACATCCCACTCTCATTGAGAGACCCGCTAGGACGACTCTTGAGTCCGCAACCGCCCAAGTCTGTTACTGGTACTATTTAGACCTTAAGTTTAGGTAATATGCAAGAGCTATTGATTTGCTGCAACTACTAAATCTGTAATTAAAGACACCAGTGCTGAAAATCTCCATGAAATGCTCAGTTCCCTTCAAAACCTTTGCCAAATTTGGCCTGAACTGAACCTCAGCAAACCTGTAATGTGTATAAGATAACCCTCTGAACGTTGAACTTCTAACTGTGTAAGTTCAGCACGTAATGCGTAAGTGTGGCTGAACTTGTTACTTGAGGTCTAAATAGTACAGTAATATTCTTTTGGGAGTCACCATTACAGTGTTTCCAAGGTCACCACTGTAAGCTGAGATTATCGAGCCCAATACGGCCATGTACTTCGATATGATGCAGTCTCTTTGGAGCTACGATCAACGAGGGAGAGACTTTGCTCTGAGAAGCATGGCAAAGAAGTTGCTGCGGGACATTGGTTGCCAAAGTCAGCCGTCTTCGATTCCCGCCCTGCCCGCTTCACACTCTCTCCAGGCGAGAGTAACTGGTGACATCACTTCTAGCCCCTCGGTAGTATTGGCTTTGAACGCCGCCGACGAATCGACGAGCCAAGGTCGCGCACATTCAGTTGGCAGCAGGTCGGCGAGTCGTCGCTCGGACTCTGAATCGGAGAGGAAAAATAAGCGTCCGTCGTGTTGAGTATAGATACAGAGTGAAAATCCGGAGTAATGATACAAGAACGAAGCAGCATAAAAATACACGAAGGCAGGTCTATTTGGAGTCCGAGTTCAATAGGTTATAGCCATAACAGGATTAAGGAAGGAGAGATTAGCTTCGTTAAACACGACTAAGGATTTAGATTTCGCGCCAGAGATGGTCTGGCATTGCACTGCGGTCAACCTTGAGCACGCCCGTGACGGCGTCGACAGCCACGATCGTCCGTTGGAGGTCTTCACCATGGACAAACACAATCGTGGTGATGTCCTTGCAGTAGAGGCGAAGTTCCGCAGCCAGCGCCCGGAGTGCAGGCGATGACGATGGCGGGGGTTTCCAGGAGGTAACGTCCAGTTCCACACAGCGGAGGGCCGAGAGCCTGATCAGGATTCCGTAAAACTGCAGTCGCTTTAAAAAGGAAAATCAGATTTGGTATCAAAGGAAAAGTCGCGAAATCACCTTCCGTCCTCCTACGGGAAGTATAAGAGTGCCAAAATACCGCAATTCGCGGGCCATGGTCATTGCGCGTGCATGCGCAACACGCTGGAGGAGCTGCATGCTGGCCGTCTCAGCCTCGGCAGTGGCGCCTGGAAGCGGCGCATCTCCTACATCGAGCGAAATAAGGGGCGCATTCGAACGTCTGAGTGCAGAAATCAAAAGTCGTATTTCGGGCTCGCGGTTGGCAATATGAGGCGGAGTTGAGAACGCTGTTTTCAGCCGGGACAGCGGCCGTCCGGGGGAAAGAAGCACAGCAGCTTCGGAGAACGTGCATTCGAGGGTCGTCAGTGCTGGGAGAGGCGAATTATTATTATGCAGAGCAATAGGTGGAGAAACTTCTTGAGGAGAGAGTGGTGAAGAAAGAAGGGCGAGGTCGCGGTAATCACGAACGTAAAGATCGTATAGCTCAGTTTGTGTCTCCAGAAAGGCGACAAGATTCGCATCCCAGTCGAAGTCGCAGTGGAATGTGTGTAAACGAAAGGGGCACTCTGCGCCACCGAGACTCCACGCGTATTCCACGGCAGTCGAGATTGGCGAAGATATGTCGACGACAAGGTGCCGCAAATTGATTGTTTTGACAAGAGTTTTCGCGACGAGTGCCCAGAACTCGGCTGGCGTTTCAAGCTCGGCCTCGGATCTGTCATCTCCGCGCGACTCGTCAGACGCTCCTTCCGATTCCGAATCCTCCTCGCTTGCTTCTTCTTCAGCATTTGCGTGAGCTGTCCCCTGCTCTGCTCGCCTGGGTCTGGCCCAGATCTGGATCGTCATGGCCTTCACGCGCCGCGCCAAGCCTGCATTCGCCACCAACGTCTCGCAAACGAGCGCCCCGCCCTTGAGGTCGTTGAAGTGGACGGTGTTGTAAAGGATCGCCTGAGACACGCGGCAGAAAGCCCGCGAAACGAGACAAAGCGCGGCAAGGTCGCTGCGCCGCGTGACAAGCCGTGCGATCGCGCGATGTGCTTCGAGGGAAAAGGCCGGGGACGGCGGCGGGGATCGGTGAGGGGAGGAAAGGGAGGCTAGTAAACTTGGATTTGGAGAGAACGACGTTGATTTCCGAGTCGGGGAACGTGAATGTGTCCGAGATTGGTGGCCCGTCTGGCGGGCGGTAGCGGAATCCATGCAGGTCAGGCGGTTTTAAGGAGAATATTCATCCGTCTGCGCGTCAGAGGTGGTCGAGGGAGGGAAGGAAAACATGGTGAGCGACGTCAGGAAGGAAAAGCAGATGGACGCCATCAGCAGCAGGGCCAAACGGAAGAAGATGTCATGTGCTTACGGCGAAAGTCAAAAACACAGAAACCAACAGGAAGCTTCTGGCGGCGTCGATGGTGTTGTCGTTCGAGAACAGAGAGGTTTTCTTGGAGCAGAACGAACGCAAGGGAGGATGGATGACGAAACGAAAAGAGGAAAACGGAAAAAGGCCGCCCGACAGCCTCCGACTCGGAAAGGGAAATAAAAGGCCACGCGGCGAGGAATGATATTTAAAGGGCTTCTGTCATATTTGACTGTGTGCGTCTGAAGCAGCCATCGCGGAGGCAATTCGGACATGCTGATCTCAGCAGATCCGGGGAGGACCGCGTGGGAGACATGGGAGGCCGATTCGGAGGAGCAAAGTGAGAGACGGGTTCGCAGGCCTCGGTCGTCAAGCTAAAGCCACGTGGCTGGGAGGACGGGTTCTTCGGGTGATGGTGTCCATACAACAGTGCTGATTCTTCGTCTGGACGCACGCCCGAGCTCTCCGGAGCCGTCCACAGGTCAATATTGGCCGTGACGACCTCCATTCCAAAACGGGCCGGTGGACTATGACCCTGAGAAGTTCTGGTCTGCTCGTACATAGATATAGATGGAGAACTTACTTGGCCATCGCCGAGTTCTCCTTGCTCATTCAAGTTGGTCGGCCAATTTCGGGGGATGGCAGATTATTGGGCCCGCAGAAGTACCACCATTGCACGACCTTGTACTCCAGTCCTGACTTTGTTGACCGAGAATTAACCACAAGGTGCCAACAGAAAGCGATCCTGCAGCAATTATGTTTTGACAAGCGTTTCTGAAGGGCCAAATATTTTTGGAATGAGACAAAAGTGTGGGAGGGAGCCATGAGTATGCCATGCCGTCTCTATTTGGGTTCGCTTTCGGTCGAGAGGCCATGGCCGTTGGTAAAAACGCAGGTCACAGTATGTCACACATCATGATCAATATCAATCTCTTCACAGCTCTTCACGTTGTTGTCTTCGTCATGGATTGTGGAACCATGGAACAGCAAAAGCGGCGCGACGTCTTGAGGTTCAAGTGTCCCTGCCAAACTAGTACCTGACTCTTGTGTGGCAAGCATCCAAACAAGACAAGACTTGAAACAACCTTGGAAACAACTTGATTCTTCAAGTTGAAGCTGGTCGCCTTTAAACAATGTCTCTGGCAGAAAGTCTCAGGCTCCGCCCGGCCTCAAATTGGCTTCAAGTAAGAGATATAGCGGACGAATTTCACTTGATCTCTTTAGTTCCCGACCAACTAGAGTTAACATTCCTTCACTGAGTCTGGCACTACTACTAATATTGGCATCAACTTCATTGCTCCCTGGCAAATACAACCAATGTACGCCACTCATGCGCTAACCACATTGATCTCCCTCGGTACCAGCCTCTGTACCCAACTGGAAGCCTGAGCTCCGAAGAGTAATGGCTGTCAACGCTCAGGCTGCCAGCGAATGATTCAAATTGGACTCGAAACGAACATTTACTTACCCTCCCGGGTCGAAGAATGATCCAAAAGCCGTTATCTCGCTAAGGGCCCGTCCCCTCATCAGCTCTCGCGTTCGGCCTTCATTACTGGGCGCCGCCTATTGCATAGCAACATATATACTCTAATTACCATCCAGTCAAGACGATAAAAGGCTGGCTGAGGCTCTCCCCAAGCACTGGCCAAATTTCCGCCTTTACCCTGGAGTCCCGTATGACTCATACTGCGCCTTCACCATACATCCTCCCGGTTGGCCACTAAAGTGTCATTGTCGTTATACCCCGTTGACATCGAGACAGCCCGCGGGGGAATCGCAGTTGGAAATCAACCGGCACGCAATGCGACCCCCTTCCCTTTGAGTCCGCCTAACCTGCCTGTAGCCTTGACGCAATGCATCTCGCCTTCCAGACGTATATTGGGGGCCGTTTGGCCCTTGTTCCCCTCGAAGAGCGGTGGAAGCCGCAACAGATTCTCGAACTTGGTTGCGGGAGCGGTGCCTGGTAAGACCAGCCTTGCACTACTCATCGTCTTTGTTAACATATCAGGACAGGGCGATTCAAGCCGCAGAAACGTTCCCCAATGCAGAGATCGTCGCCGTTGACATGACTCCGTTTCCGGCAAGGTCTGGCCTTCCTCTGGATGCACTAGCGGGATGCTGATCATTGGCACGGTAGACCCGTCCCTGCCAACGTCCGGTTCGTTCAAGCAGACATCTCGACCGACCTGCCGTTCACCGAAGGTACCTTTGATGTTGTCCACGTGCGATTCGTCCTCGTTCATGTCTGTGCATCTCACACCAACATATCAAGGTCACTGACCGCTAAGCACTAGATTGTGAACCCCCGCCCGGTTATCGAGCGGATCTCGCGCCTCGTCAAGGCCGGCGGAGTCCTGCTCCTCGAAGACATTGATGCGGATACCATCATCGGAACCGCGCCAGAGGCCACGCGCAGGCTGACCTCCCTCTGGAGCCAGATATATAGATCCAGAAAGCAGGAACCCGACATCGGGCGGCATCTGCGGGGCATCCTCGCTGCCCTCCCGGCGTTCTCGGGCCACGTGACGGAACACAAGGCCGTGGTGCCGCTGAACGGCCGCGACGCAGGTGTGTGATTTGGCGTGCTCATCGCTGCGCGGGCCTCACGGCTACATCACTGCAGACGAGGCCGCCAACGCGCTGGGCCGTGGGATGTGCGACGCGATTGTGCAGGGCTTCACGCAGATCACGGCACTCGGACGCTGGACCACGGGCTTCTCGGACGAGCTCTTCCGCGCGTTTTTCGAAGAAGCTGCGGCGCCGGAGTTTCCAGCGATGCTTGATATATACTTTGTCTCGGCCCAGAGAGCACCATAATAGTACCTTCAAGCTGTTTGCAAGATAGGGCTTGGTTTTTAAAGATTTTGAAGGTTATCAAACAGGTTGATAAAAATAGCCTCTGAAACCCTGTTTACAAACTGGTTTTTAGGTTTTATAAACCAACTGAGCTGATATGACCAGAGAGACCAAAATTTCCTTTTTTTGTTATTTTATGACATAAATTTTGGCCTTTTGACTTGATGTCTATAAGTCTGTAGGGGGTTTGAGAGAGAGAGAGAGCTAAAGCCCATCAACTGTCACTTGTAAGTTAGTATAATATGTTTAAGTTATATATCATATGCAATTGCTTCAAGTTATTCGAAGATTTAAGATAAACCCCCTGTCAGAGATCCTCTATATAACTTAAAAATTATAATAACAGCAATAATAAGGAATCTGCATAGTTAGTACTTATAGTCACAACCCAGCCCTCAATACTAGTACTGACCATGACTAATGTCAGCCAAAAGTAGGTCAAGATTCTACTTGATAAGAGACTAGATGTTATAATAGACCTATAAGATATGGTTAAGCTGTCAGGGGAACCTCCCTTTCGGCCCTTCAGAGACAATTCTGATTCTGGTCCGATTCCGGTTCCGACTCTGGTCCCGCCCCTCCATCTCGCCCACACAATCACCGATCCATCAACGCCCTCCCAACAGTCGCCCTGGGACCTTGCCTGCGACGCTGCCCAAGCCTTCTGTGCCCAACAGCAGCAGCTACGGACAAGCAGTATATAGCCAGCTACCTAGCAGGCGGACCCTCAGAGTGTCTTCTCTTTGGATCCTCCCCTGCTAGGACCTTGATCTCAGGCCTTTGGGGTTGCCCTTACACAAGCCTACTAGGAGTATATAGAAGCAATATCAGTGTGAAGTAAGTCTAGTTTACCAGCTCCTTTCCCTTCAAGTTTTAGGTGCTTATTAATATAAAACCATAAAACAGGGGGTTTCCAGCCAGGCTGTTTATAAATATTATAAAACAGGGGTGTTTATAAACCGGTTTACAAACACCCCTATATAAACCAAGCCCTATCCAGGACCTTTATACCACTGAAAATTGATAATGACCTTGGTAATAATTAAATCTGTATGGTTAGTATAGTATAGTCACACAGCCAAGCTTCTAATACTGGTATTGATCATGATTAATATAATAATATTAGCTAAAAATAGGTTCAGATCCTACTTGATAAGAGACAATATATTATGATAGACCTATAAGATATGATCAAGCCTACATGGAAGCAATATTGGTGTGAAGTAAGTCTGGTTTGCTAGCTTTTTCCTTTGTGGGTGCTTACTAATATAAAACCATAAAACAGGGGGGTTTCCAGCCAGGCTGTTTATAAACATATAAAACAGGAGTGTTTATACAAGGGGGGTTCAAGATTCGAAACATGGATATAGGGTTGGAAAGTTTTTTTCCGACCCTCTGGGGACCCCCCCTCCCCCCTCCTGCCTTATATAGTAATATATTCTCATGATCAGCGTCATGTGACCACTGATGCAATCAAAAAGTGGGATAAAAATTCAATCTTTGTGAAACTTTTTTTTTTGCAAAAATTCTATACATGTGTATGTATATATGTGTAGGTATGCATGTACCTGGAGCCTTCTGACTTCAGACATACATGGCAGGCCATATCAACTCTTCAACATGTTCACCTCTCATTAATTACCTGATGATGGGCCCATGACAGAGTGGGCTATCCAAGCTCATGGGCCTGAAAGTATGTAGATATAAGTATGAGAGTTGTGAGCTATAGAAATTAGAGCATATACACTATATTTTCAGTGTCTTTACACTCATATAAGGCCCAAATCTTTCAAATACAAAAAGTTTTTTTTTACCCCCCGGGGACACCCATGTGCCTGATAAGGATCTTGAACCCCCTTGTGTTTATAAACCAGTTTACAAACACCCCTATATATTGAAACCAAGCCCTATCAATGACAATGCAAGATAAGTAGGCAGAAGAGAAAGAAGTACTGTAGTATTTTACTCAATTCGAATGCCAAAAATGGTGTGACATCTGATACGAAAATTGGAATTCGAATTATTTCCTAATTGGGAAGTTCTTGGCGCCGGAGGCGCCCGGAAATGTCATAAATTACCTTTTTGGGACAGGAATTTGAGCAAAATGGTGTGACATGCGGAAAAATTTCGAATTTTATAGCCTGTGTGACGCGTGACATACGAACTGAGTAAAATACTACAGTAAGTTAGTACATATTAGTATAGAGGGAGAAAATGGCTACCATACATATGCAGCGGAGAGACCAAATGACTCTAATGGGATTTAACAATAAGTACCTTGTTTACAACTTGAAATTAATCGCTACTGGTTAGGCAACCACAGACCACTGAACCTTCCCTCGCGCTTCCCTTCAACAAAGCGCTCCGCACGCTCCCACACGTCTAGTCGCCCACGCAACCCGTCCTCCCAGTCCTTCCAGAACATGGCATACTCGCACCCGCCGCTGACGCAGACGAGCCGGACGTCGGCCGCCGGGCCGAGCGCTGCAACATCAGCCGCATCCGGCTCACCGAGGACAAGCACGTGGAGGTGCGGCGCGCGGTGGAGGGCCGCCTCGAATTCGGTGATCGGGGCGGGGCTGCCGGAGAGTTGCAGGCGCACATGCGTCAGCGCCGGGAAGCGCGGGAGGGCGGCGCACACGGGCGCGCGCACGGCGGCAAACTTGACCTGGTCGTGCAGGTTCAAATGCGTCACGTGGGCGAACGCAAGGTGTGCCGTGTCGATAGGTGTGGGCGTGTCGGTAGCATGGCCGGTGCGCCAGATCTCGCCGAGATCCGCCGTGAGGCGGCGCAGGCGGAGGTCGGCAAGCAGAGGCAGAAGGGCGGCCACGTGATAGCGGTATGTCGTCCCGAGACCGTGTAAGCCAGTGCAGCGCTTGAGGAGTTCGGTGAGCACCTCGCTAGGATTGTCGCTGATGCCATCGACGAGGAGGTGGCCCACGTGCTGTGCGGCGAATGCGGACGGCTTTCGTTTGAGGGCGCGCAGAGCAGCTTGATGGCGGCGCCGCTCGGTCACGCGGAGAATGCGGAAGAGGAGAGGCTCGACCCTATGGACTCTCAGCGTTACTAAAAGGGAACTTAGGTAGAAATGGATTTGCCAGACGTGGACGCGCCGCGCGACGAGCATCAGCGGCAGCACCGTGCCGGGATCGGTGATAGCCGTGTGCTCGAAGATGGCCCGTTCGAGGTCTTCAGGGAGATGGGGGATGAGTTCAACCATAAGCGCTGGCTGCACAGCCCCTGAGCGTCGCTCAGCCGGCCGGCGTCACATCATGGTCACCACCGGCCGGCGGCCCGCGCCATCAACACTGTTTTCTATCCGTAAACACTAGGGATGAATCCATGAGGCAAAAGGAGTACGGAAACTTTGAGCCATACGACATGGCCCTCATTTGCGTCGCTGAGTCCGAAATCGTGACGCTATCGAAAGAGCAATGTGCTCCGGATCCGTCGTGGCACGTGGCACGTCAATGGCAAGTTTTCTACCCACTTCCTCAGGCTGCATTCAATCGAATCCAAATCATCCAAATCTGTAGTCTATGTACATTGTCTTTGCGTTAATCCCTCAACTGACAAGGGTGGAAACAACTTGAACGAGAAACTAATCCTTAGGGCGTGTCTTGACAACATCTGTGCGGAAATCGACCGGACGGGGGACACCCCGCGCACGCTCATATACCCCACACGCATTACAAACCTGCGCGCCCTTCTTGTCGCGCCGCCACGCGCTCGCCACAGTCGTCCCACAGTTCGCACACACCGGCCCGGCTCCGGACATCGACGGCGCGGGCGGCTCCCAGCGGTCCGCCGGCCGGTCGCGTTGCTTGTTGATAAAGTAGAGCCCGCAGGCGTTGCAGACGGGCTTGTCGGTCTGCGGGTGGCGGCGCCAGAGCGGTGTCGTGCGCGTGCCACAGCGGGTACAGACTTTCGATGCACTGGTTGACGCATTGAAGGGATAGTCTCCGGGATCGGCCGGTGCGAGGGCGATTTCTTTCGCATGGGTCTGACTACCGGTGGGAGGGCCTTGCGGGGAGCTCGTTGATGGTATTGAGGGTGGAGTAGGCCCCATAGCGCCGGCAAGCGACGAGTAGCGTGATTGGCGGTGGCCTGGTTGAGGAAGTTGAGGCTGGCCTACATGGTTGGCCACAGGCTGGTGGTGTCCATAATCAGGTACGCCGTGCTGAGGATAAGCGGTACCGGCGATCGGAGGGTAATGATACGCTTGAGCGGTTCCCATTCCTGTTGACAGTCAGCAACGAAATAACTTGGATGGAACCGGCGATGATACCTTCGTTCCAACCAGCGAACGCGCCGTCGCCAGCGTCAGACTGCCCGTACTCCTGTGGATACTGCTGCGAGTAGCCGCCCGGGCCCGGGTGTCCGCCGCTATTCGGAGCGCCATAAGGCGAGTAGAAGTTATAATTATGTCCGTCGCTCATTGCAGCTAGGATGAACCGGAGGCCTCTTGCTTCTGGGCAGAAACGGTGAGCTGGACCGCTCTCTTTTAAGCAGAGCACCTTCACTTACATAGCATAGGCTCTGTTACCCCGCCGGGCCTCCTCCCGCGACGCGCTTCTCCAAATTGAATAATGATGCTGAGTGCGCCAGACCATCCGTGTGTACACCCATCCCGCGACTAAATTCGCCAGACAGGGAAACAGAATCAGCAACAATACCGCGACGCGACGCGAGAAGACATCGCAGTTAATTAGGACGCGACGCGACGTTGGACCCACCATTAATCTTTCGAGTCGAGCATCGGCACGGCCCCCGAAGAGGCTCGAGCGACGTTTTCTGCCTGATTATCAGTCCTTTCAAGTTTTTTACAGACGACAGATTGATGATGTTGGCACCATTGAACAAAGCAAGCAGAGAATGTTGAGACGCAATTTCTGGAGAGATGACTCAGGACCGCATGCTGGAATCGATTCGATTCTAGCGACTGCTGCTCGAGTGCCTCTCCACAGCGTTGTATTGCGCGAAATCTGCATTAAACTGTCAGTGTATCCGTATCCAAGGAGTCTCACGATGGGCTTACCGTACGTTTGAATTTCATGTTAGGCCCATAGCCAAAGCGGGCTGTGCACGTCACTAATGGTGGGACTCGCCCCGGTGTGTTAAGGTGGAAGAGAGGAGCAGATATGGCTGGGGTTGCAGGGGACGCATTCCACTGGCGGCTGGTGCAACACAGTCTCTGAGGAGAAAGGAAGAGCCACGTCATAACGAATTCGGGTCCAATTTCGCATGAATTCAATTCGACAACTTGTTCCCCAAAAAGAACAATGAGGTTGCTGAGCAGGGCACCCGAGCCCCGGATCTCGCCCCGTATCCGCAAGAATCACGACCACAAAAAAGTATCCTTTAGGGAGAGTCAGCGCTGGCGCAGGCTAAAGTAAGAATTGACGCACCCACAAATTGTGACAGATTGAGACGTGATAAGATCCTGCACAGGCCGCATCATTTGCAAAGGATTTGCATGACTCTTCGAGCGCTGGTGCCAGTGCGTCTGCGCGTCTCCTCCGGCCTGTCCCGAAAATTAAAGATTAAGTGCTCTGCGGCTCCGTTTCGCACGCGTGTGCTGTTGTGTGGGTGGGCGTCGATTCAGAATCACTGCTAGTTAATCAAACCAGAATTGATTCCAGACGCACTGCGAATTGGAAACGCCTGCCCTTTCACGAATGTCAAGTTAGAATCAAGAGCATTCAGGTCCTTGAGTGCTGGTGCCGCTGAGCCGGCGACGCATCATCATTATGCGAAAGAGGACGGTATAGCAAGACTCAAGAGGCTGTCTGAGCGCTCAGCCGGCTTGCCCCAGATGGACGTTGTTGACAAGATGATGGGGCACGTGCAACATTGATTGACGTTTCGCTAGTCTCGACAGTCGATATACATGTATATACATGTAATTTAGTCAAACCTTGGTATATTTTTCACTCCACACAATATAGTTATCGACTAAGAAGCATAAATTTACTTATCTGTTATTACCGTTGATCATCCGAGTCATTCATGTTGTTGTTCCCCTCCTCAACTGCCAACCACACACTATCAATACTCCCGTCGCGCTTGCCCAGGACGAAACGCTCCGCGCGGGTCCACATGTCTGTCTTCCCCCGCAGCCCATCCTCCCAGTCGCACCAGAAGTGGGTGTAGTCGTTACCGCCATCAACAAACACGAGGCGCACATCGCTCGCCCCGAGTGCCGCAACATCGGCCGGATCGGGTTCGCTGAGGATGAGCAGCTGTAGGCGCGGTAAGCCTTGCAACACGCGCTCAAAGTCGGCGAGCGGGGCGGAGTTGGCGTGGAGCTGCAGCCGCACGTGACTCAGCGCCGGGAATCGCGGGAGGGCGGCGCACACACGTGCACGGACGGCCCGCAGTTCGACGTGGTCGTGTAAGTTGAGATGCGTCACGTGTGCGAAGGTGGGGTGCGCGGCGTCGACGGCGGCAGCAAGCTCGTCTAGGCGCACGCCGACAGGCACGTGCTCGTCATTATCCGAGTCGCCGTCGGCTTTGCGGTAGTCGGCGCCGAGACAGAGCTCGCCGAGGTCTGTCGTTAGGTTACGCAGCTGTAGGCCGCCGAGGAGCGGCAAGAGCGCGGGCACGTGGTACCGGAACGTCGTGCCGAGCCCGTGCAGGCCAGGGAAGCGCCGAAGGAGGTCCTTGATCGCCTTGGTGACTTCCGCGGCAGTGTCTTTGCTGCTGCCGAGGAAGAGGTGGCGCACGTGCTGCGAGGCGAAGGCGCGACCTTTCTTCTTCAGGGCTTTCAGGGCGGCCTTGTCGCGGCGCTCGTCACCGACGCGGACAATGCAGAAGAGGATGGGCTCGACCCTGGGGATATGTCAGCTGACATGTGCCGTTGGCGGACGAGAGGCATTTGCCAATTGCGGACGCGGCGCGCGACTAGCATCAGCGATAGTGACATGTCGGGCTCGGTCAGGGCAACATACTCAAAGACGGCGCGTTCAAGGTCTTCGGGGAGATGGGGTACCGGTATGACTTCAGCCATCGCAGAAACAGGTCAAGCGAAGTCGGCACAGCCCCATCGATATCACAGTCACGTCACATCTTCTGTTTTTGTTTACTTCTTGCTGCAGCCTAAACTTCCCCAACCCAAGCTAGTACTACAGGGTACTTTCATGTGTCCCGAGGCAACTGCGAGTGAGTCAGAATCCACGCATGTCGGTCTAGTACTAATCATGCATTCCTTCGATTCAAGTTCTCGTTTCAAGTTGGCGACACCGACTTCTTAAGTTCTCCCTGGACATTATCCCCACACCCCTAGTACGAGTGCTGCTTCACTTCACTTGACATTCCGACTTGGAACTTCTGGTTCTTTCAACTGGAACTGAAAAAGATTGTACCATTCGCTACAAGGGGGTGTCACATGTCAAAAAGTGACAACCGGGATGGTCGGTCGGTCCCCCCTCCGGACCCTTAAAAAATTTTTTTGGTAGAAACTTTTTGGCTGAAATAGTAAGTCAAAATTGTCTTAGGATGGGTTACAAGTACTGTTTGGTGCACTATACATCCATAATTAAGTATCAACAATCTCACAAGTGGTTATTTTTCAGTATCTCATCATCAGATGGAACATTGTGACAAATCAGACTATATGGGGATGGATATCTGTACTCTGGAGTGAGATTTGTAAGACAATGACTATATCAGGACTTTGTCTACAAGATATATATATAGCTAGAAGTCTATGTTTCTATTAATGTTCTTGGAAATTCAGAGGACTGACTGAGTTTGATGCTGTCAGATCACATGACTGTGTGAATTACCTTCCTAATATGGTAATGTCACGTCACAGTCACGGTCGGTGGGTCCCCTGGAAGGGCTTAAACAAAAAAGTCCAACGTATGTTCCGTTATTTTTTTTCTGATACCCCCTTGATTCGCTACAAATGCATCCGATACTAGAATTCAAAAGATCGTGGTTCCGTCGCCCGCGACAGAAATGCCGTCTATTTCTTGCCCCCGTCCTCTCAAAGTGCCTCGACCTCCCGTCCCTCCACCTCTAGCTCCTGTCGCTCACGCAGGTTCATCGCGACCAGAAGGCACTTGTAATCCCACTGCAAGCGCTTATACTCCTCCTCGCTCTCCATGACCACAATCAACATTCATTTGAGTCGTGCGGTGCCCACAGACCTCTTCTACTCCCTCAGCTCTCTTCCCACGCTGTCCACACTGCACATACACCAAGCACGAATTGACCAAGGGGGGTTCAAGATTCGAAACATGGATATAGGGTTGGAAAGTTTTTTTCCGACCCTCAGGGGACCCCCCCTCCCCCTCCTGCCTTATATAGTAATATATTCTCATGATCAGCGTCATGTGACCACTGATGCAATCAAAAAGTGGGATAAAAAATTTAATTTTTGTGAAACTTTTTTTTGTGCAAAAATTCTATACATATGTATGTATATATGTGTAGGTATGCATGTACCTGGAGCCTTCAGACACACATGGCAGGCCATATCAACTAGGGTGCAGTTTTTAAAGATTTGAGTATTAAAAAACGGTTTATAATTTTCAGTGTCCCAAACTGGTGTTTGTAAACTGGTTTGTAAACCAGGCAACCAAACACGTGATATTTTTGATGTCACAATATCAAAATTTTTACTCCTAAATTCTAGCTGAAAGGGTTACCTTCATACCTCTTTTCTCTCAGTCACCTGTGGTACAGGTCATAATTTGCTATATATTATGTACAGGACCAATAATTAATAATGTTGATGAGCTGGCAGTAGTCAAATCACTTAAATCACATGACTAGCCTGGTTTATAAATCAGGAACCCAGTGAAATCTTTCCAAACCAGGGTTTATAAACACTGGTTTATAAACCAGTTAGTAAACCGGATCAAAAAACTGCACCCTAATATTATCAACTCTTCAACATGTTCACCTCTCATTAATTACCTGATGATGGGCCCATGACAGAGTGGGCTATCCAAGCTCATGGGCCTGAAAGTATGTAGATATAAGTATGAGAGTTGTGAACTATAGAAATTAGAGTGTATACATTATATTTTCAGTGTCTTTACACTCATATAAGGCCCACATCTTCCATATACAAAAAGTTTTTTTTACCCCCCGCGGGGACCCCCCCCTCCCCCCTACCCCATGTGCCTGATAAGGATCTTGAACCCCCTTGCCAGCCTCTGCTGTCCACTGGCAGCTCCGACTCCGACGGCGAGTCCAACTCACAACAATTGCCAACAATTGCATCATGAATCATGATCGCTACTAGTATCTGTGACTCATGAGTCATGGCTTTCAAGTTCCGAGTCAAGTTGCAGCTGCAAGCGGCGGCCCGGGCCAGCGAACTCAATTGAATTGAACTTGGAACAAATGTCGAACACTTACCTTACCAGGCTTACCCTCCCGGCCGAAGAATGATCCTAAAGCCCAGCCAAAAGTGAATTTTGGCATCCCAAAATGGCAGTTTTCCACAATTCCTGCGCCTTCGGCATGCCAACATACCAAATGGGGAACATCATGCGAATGTTTTCGGACAAATGTGTCACAGCCCCCGGGGCCATTTGAATTGAATAAAATCTTACAGTATCAGATTAAACTTAGAGTGTCTGTCAGGGGAACCTCCCTTTCGGCCCCTCGGAGACGCCTCCGATTCCGGTCCGACTCCGGTTCCGACTCCGGTCCGGCCCTCCATCTCGCCCGCACAATCACCGATCCGTCAACGCCCTCCCGACGGTCGCCCTGGGACCTCGCC